TGTATCCATACTTCATTTTTATGGCTGAGTAATAACCCATTGTATTTACCACTTTTGTTTATCCGTTCAGACGGTGATGAACGCTAAGTCTGTTAATACCATTGGACTATTATGACAGTGCTGCTATGAACATTTGTGTACAAATATTTGTGTGGAGGAATTTTTTCCTGACTCTTGGGTAGACACCTAGGAGTGGAAGTGTTGGGTCATGTGGTGATAGTTTCACTTTTTTAGGAACCGCCACGCTTTTCCACAGTGGCTGATCCGTTTTACATTCCCAACATTGTACAAGAATTCCTGTTGTAAACTTCACAGCACTTTATTTTTTCACTATAGCTATCCTTGTGGGTGTAAAATGGTATCTCGTTGTGGTTTTGATTTGCATTATCCTGAAAATTACCCTGTTGCTGTTTACAAGATTCTGTCTTCAGCTTCTGACAGTCTGATTATCATGTCTTGTGGGTCTCTTGAGTTTATTCTGTTCAGTTTGGCTTTGTTGAGCCGCTTGGATGTTTAGATTGAAGTGGTTTACGAAATTTGAGAAGTTTGCAGCCATTATTTCTTCAAGTATTCTTTTTGCCCCTTTCCTCTCCTTTGGTACTCACTTCCCTTTTTGCACAGGTCAGTATGCTGCATTGTGCTCCATAGATCTCTTGGGCTCTATTTGGTTTCCCTTCAGACTTTCCTCTCTTTCTGCTACTCCAACTGGACATTTTCAATTTACCTAGCTTCAAGTTTATTGGCTCACATCTATTGGAACCCTCTAGTGACTTATTTTATTTCAGTTAGAACTTTCAGCTCCCAATCAATTTGCATGGTGTTTTTTAAAAAGATTTCTTAGTGATTTTCTAGAGAGAGAAGAGTGAGAGAAACGATGATGCGAGATCATCAATGGGCTGCCTCTTGCACGCCCCCTATCAGGGATCAGCCCGTCAACCTGGGTATGGGACCAGACCGGAAAATGAACAAGCAAACTTTCTGTGCACACGATGATGCCCAACCAACTGCTCCACACTGGTCAAAACTTGTATGGTTTTTAAAGATTTATTTATTGATATCCTGTTTGTTCTCCTGGATTCCTTTAACTCTATGAGCATATTTGAGTCAGTTAACATAAAGTCCAATGTTTGTGTTTCTGTAGGGATGGTTTATGTAATTTCTCCTTTGAATGGGCCATACTTTGTTTCTTTGCATGCTTCTAAGTTTTTGGTTGAAAATAAAACATTTTGAATATTATAATGTCGTAACGCTGGAAATCTTTTTTTTTTTTTTCTTCACGCCTAGGGTTTTTGTTGCTTACTGTGAGCTGTACCAATTTGTTTAGTGACTTTTGCAAACTTTTTATTTTGTGTGTGTGTGTATGTATAAATTCTCAATTCTTTGACTTATGTAGTTTCCGAAGTCTCTTCCTTTCGCTTATGTTCAGCTAATGTGTTGACATTTTCTTAAATGCCAGTAGCCTAAAAAATTACTAAAACAAGCCCTGGCTGGTTTTACTCAGTAGATAGAGCATCAGCCTGTGGACTGAAGGGTCCTGGGTTGGATTCTGGTAAAGGGTATTTGCCTGGGTTGTGAGCTCAATCCCCAGTAGGGAGCATGCAGGAGGCAGCCAATCAATGATTCTCTTCATTGATGTTTCTCTCTTCCTCTCTGAAATCAATAAAAAAAATATTTTTAAAAAATGACTAAACCATGGGGGGGGGGGGGACGGAGGGTGGGGGGGGAACCTGGTGGAGGGGGGAAGAAATGAGGAACCTTTGTAATAATATGAACAATAAAGATTGCTTAAAAAAAATAAAAAAAAAAAAATTAAAAAAAAAAAAATGACTAAACCAGAAATCTTAAAAAACGAAAAGGCCTCCCAGTCTTTGCCTATTGGCTGTGTCGGAGCACTCCTTCAAATGCCTGGGCAGGCCATTTCAATCTGCCTTAGTTATCACTTACTGCTTGTGCTGATCCTAAGGATCAGGCAGCGGTAAACGCTTAGGGTCTTTCTCCTGCACGCAACTCGGCCCGAACATAAAGGGCTTTCCAATCCCCTGGCATACAATGGTTTTTGAATGGCCTACTTTCCTTTAATAAACTCTCTCCTATTTTCTCCTCAAGATGTTGGCACGCCTTTATTTACTGTAATCCTTTGCCCCAGGAGGCAGCAGGTTGTTCAGTTGCCTTACAGTATTTTAAAGAAGTGCCTGCCACTTTCACCCACAAGTTCCGAGTTAGATGAAACAAAGCAAAGTGCCTTGCTTCACTCCTGCAAGAGGCGCCAGTTGGGTTAGAACAATTATTTTAGATGATCAGATCTGCTTCCTTGGGACCAGGAACCAAGGTGTCACTCCGAAAACATGGGCTGGGGAAGGGATGGAACAAGGTCATAGAAAACACTAAAAAGCTTGCCTCGTTTTTAGCTTACCTTTTTCTTGACTCAGCATTTTTTGGTTGCTGTAAATGTTCCCAGAATTCTGACAAGGTTGTTTCTGAATTTTTATTTTTTATTTTTTTTTACTTCTAAGGTGGAAGGGGTCCTTGAAGCTATCTATTTGTGCCAATGGTCATTTTTTGACACGGCACATGTAACTTTGTCGAGCTAATTTAAGACTCTGGATGTTTAAATCCTTCAGATATTTATTTTTGCTTCTGTCAGGTAATTAAACCAGTTGCATCAGCTTTCCCGGATAACTTTCAAATAGGGAATGAGCAGACATGGCTGGATGTCAGGCCCTGTGAGAACCAACCTATTCTCATTCCTCTTACACCACGGTGTAGCCCTCTGGAATGGGACTAAAGCCTGAGGTTTTACCTAGGCCCTTCTTCCTTGCTGGTTTCTGTATAGAAGTTTATCTTAGAAATTTTAATACAATTTGCATAACTCTGAAAATATACCTGTTGCCAAATAAAAAATAATGGGGCAAGCAAGTTCATGGAAAAACCAAATTTCTTCATCGTGGATTTACTGAGAGCCATTTATTTTAATTATCCACAGCTTATGTTGACATCTGCTTTCTCTGCAAGATAAATTTATTTCTTGAAATAGCCCATTTTCTAATTCTCCAATAGGATTTGGTTCTATTTAGCTATCAAAGTCAAACCTTTCTAAACGTACACTTCACTTGGGCACAAAATTCACTGTGCATAAAGTAGTCCCCCCTTACCTGCGGGGGAAACATTTCACCACCCCCAGTGGATGCTCTTGAAACGGAATCTCATCAACTTCAACTCTGCCAGAAATTCGGCAGCAGTTTCATCAGCAGCCTCTCGAGTCATTTCTTTTATTTTTCAGACCAAAACCTATTCCTAAATATGTAACCATCCCTATGGATAACACCAAGCTATTTACCAAGCAGTAAATAGCTTGGTGTTATCCATTCAGATCTCTTAAAGAGTTCGTATAGGCTCAATGTTTTCTGACACATTTGCTGTTCATGTCTTCAACCCACAAATTTAATGCCTTCTCCATCTTAACTAAGCACTTACCAAGCACTATCTGTGGCCATAACTTTTGCAGTTTTTGAGGTACAGCAAAACTAGCAGAAATTTCTCTTTCCTTCTTTACAATTTCACAGATAAAATATTTGTAACCATGGATCTTAGCAACCTCAGAATATATTTTTCCTTATGATGTTGAAAACTTTTCACTATAGGATGCACTTTACAGCTTCTCTTTAGCATATCCAAATTGCCAGTACTCTTTCACCTTGAGGACAGAGTAAAGTAAGGGTTACTCAAAAACAAGCACTGCTACATGGCAGCAATCTCATCGTGGACACTACCGGGCACGCTGGACAAAGACCATTTACACCCTAAGTGGGATGGAATAGGGCGGCGCAAGATTTCACCATGCTACTCAGAAAGGCGTGCAAGTTAAAAAGTTATGAATTGTTTATTTCTTAAATTTTCCATTTAATATTTTCAGACCGTGGGTAACTGTGAAGGAAACCACAGAAGCAAAACTGTGGATAAGGAAGGACTAGTTAATTCCTTCTAAGTGTTCTGGTTCTTCATGTTGAAATAGCTCAACTTCCAGAAATTTGGTTGCCAGATAAAAATTATCAAAGCTCTTCTAAAGATTAAGATTTCAATAGAAAAAAAAAATACACATATGCATATTTTATTATATACAAAGAACAACAGTTTTATCAAGTAAACAAAAGAATACAAATTATAGTCATAATTAATAACGTCAAAAAGCCCTTAAACCACCGTGACTTTCTGTGTAAGACACAGGCATTAAAATGGGGTCACACAGCCATTAATCAGAGATTTAGGTAGTTCTCCCAAAACAGCAATCTTCTAAAAAACTGGATTTTTATGAACTCTGTCGAGGCTTATGTGTTAGGCCTCAGAAAGGAAGTAAACGCATGTCTAGGGGGTAACAACTTAAAAATATTAAAAGGACCTTCTTGGGTTATGTTTATTGTTGACAGTGATTTTAGAGATAACCATAAAAAAGTAATAAAGATAGCAAGGTAAAATTCTGGCTATCTCATAATAAATGGATACCAATCTGGAGCTCTACAAATGGTTTATTGACAAATAAAACGAGAGAAAGGGAACTTAAGGCGGAGTGGCAAAGTCTAAGGAAGGAGGCAAGCAAATATAGACATAATTCAATCACAGTAAAAAAATAAAATAAAAGAAAGGAGATGGTCAGCATTGGTGATGTTGCCAGTCAAGCCTAGAAGAATAGTGCAGCTTCTATATATTTGCTCTTTAGTAATAGACAAAAATATTTTTCATGTTATAAAAGGACAATTTTATATCCAGAGCTAGAAATACATGTTTACTCAATGCAAATCCCAAATGAAACCCAACTTAATACACAGTGAACTACAGAGGGATGACAGAAAAAATGGGAACACATATTAAATTCAACTAAATTTACAATATTGCCTTGATATTTTCTGTTTGTTTTTAATCTATACACAAGGCTCAAGGTTCTCGAGTTACGGGTTTTATTTTTTCATTTTTATTAAAAAGAAAATTTAAAACCCTCGAGTTAACTAAAGATTTATCTGGGCTCGTAGAGGTAATCTGCTTCTTGTAACAGATTGTTCAGTAGTTTCTTCTACTTTAGACCTCTCCACTGGATTAATGCCTCTGTTTTCTTTGTCTTTTCCATACGATTTTTTATGCTGTAGATTTAAGGAGATAAATTAAGTCAATGTAAAGTAACATTTGATACCTATTAGCTATACTCGTATTTTCAAAGTTCTATAGATTATAGCAAAGAAATTAAGTGTGGAGAGAACTTCCAAAAAGACTCAGCACAAATCTGAACTAACAATCAATCTGACAAGTAGAAATGAATGCCTGCTTCATTTACCACCAATGGAAGGAGTGGAAAGAAATATTAATTTTCCATATGATATTCCAAAGCATACTCACAGATTTTACTGTAGAATAGTGATTCTCAAGAGGGAACAATTTTGCTCCTTCTCCCCCAACCTAGGAGACAGTTCATAATGCCCGAAGGCATTTTTGGTTGTTAAACTAGGGGATGCTACTGGCTCCTAATGGGTAGAAGCCAGAAATACTGCTAAATATTATAAAATACACAGCACAGAGGACCAGCCACCACAAATAAGAACTATCCAGCTTAATAATGTCAATAGTGCTGCTGTGAAGAAATCCTGGGAAAACAAAGATTTGCTATCATGCAAAAAAAAAAAAAAGGCAATACAGAGAATCTGATGTATATGGGCTACCTTAAGACATTTTTTTTTTCAACTTTATCTTTTATTTAAACCAATTTCATTTGGAGATGTATATTTCATTGAAATCTTCATACTTGAATTAAGAGATGGCTGATAATCATTGTAGATCTAGTTATCAATCCTGAGACAAATCGTAAACTATTTTAGAGTTTTAAACCCAGAAAATTCACCTCCATCCCAAAAGAATGCTATCAGGGGGAAAATAATTTCCGGCCTTTAGCTAAAGGCCTAAAATCCAATTCCAAATTTTCCCAGTACTGTAGGGACTTCCTTGCCATAGCTGAACCACTAAGCCTGGTTAAACAATAATAATGAACCGATTTCCAAACAGTAATTAACTTCTTTTAACTCTCCCCCTTTTCTTAACTTTGTAAGATGGAAGAGAGGATTGAAAAATGGAAAAAGATATAGTAAAGAATAAAGCAAAAGAAAGAATTTGGGGATGAAATTGCCTTAAGGCTGACAGAGAGGAACTTAATAGAATCTAAGCTAGAAGTTTTAACAGCTTAACTTAGGGATGGAGCCCAGCTGGCATGGCTCAGTGGCTGAGCCTTGACTCATGAACCAGGTCAGGATTTGATTCCTAGTCAGGGCACATGCCAGGTTGTGGGCTCAATCCCCTGTGGGGGGCATGCAGAAGGCAGCCAATCAATGATTCTCTCTTATCATTTATGTTTCTATCTCTCTCTTCCTCTCCGTTCCTCTCTGAAATCAATAAAAATGTATATTCTTCAAAATTAGGGATGGAATCTTCAGACGTTAGTGGAAAGACCTGCAAGTCTGTCAGAAACAGTATAAGTATATACATGTCAGAAGCAGCACTTCAACTGTAAAATGGAGCCATTCATGTCCTATGTAAGGGAGTCCTTACTTCACAGGCTGTCAAGGCTCATGTCTTCAAAATAGGTGAAATGTGCTAGGCAGTTTATAGTGCCATATTCCCAAAAGGGCTTAAAAGGGAGCAAAAGACCTAGCCGGTTTGGCTCAGTGGATAGAGCGTTGGCCTGCAGACCAGGGTTCTGCCGGGTTCGATTCTGGTTAAGGACACGTTCCTCGGTTAGCTTACAGGTCCCTCCCCAGCCCAACCCTGGTCAGGGCATGTGCAGGAGGCAACCAATCGATGTATTTCTCTCAAATTCTCTTTGTCTTTCCCTCTCTCTTCCACTTTCTCTAAAAATCAATGGAAAAATATCCTCAGTGAGGATTTAAAAAAATAATAAAAATAAATAAAAGGGGGTAAGAGACATTACAGGATTTAACTGCACAAGATCAAAGCCCACAAGGAGCTCAGGAAACACGGGGGAATTGTTAACATGGCCAAAGCCTCAGCAGAAGAAATCACTAATCTAACTCGAGTCTCTCAGTCTGTTAAACCTCAGAGCTCTCATCTGATTATGGGCAGAGAAAAGCTCTAAGACTTCCAGGTCAAAGGTGGAGGGAAGGGAAGCGACTGCTCTCGGGCTCCATTCTGAGTATGTAAGAGGCAGAAGATGGAGATTACCAACTGAAGATGGAGAGTAAGTCAAATTTAACCTTTATTTATCCTACAGAAAACCCCTGTTACAAATTTGTGTAAATAATTTAAATCAGAGAAATTAACAAGCCATTTCAAATGGCTGAAAATATTTTGCTGTTTGACCTCTCAAGAGCAATGCCTTTATGTTGACTAGCAATGACTGACTTATACCAGAAGTGGAAGGGTTATCTGACAGGATATAATCAGGTACCTGGAAAAACGGGACCCCAGTACTTGAGGAACAATCCACACTGGCATCCACAGGTGGCTCTTGATTTACAGGTTCTTCAATAGTGTGCTCCAGAACTGCTTTTTCTTCTTCTGAGTCCTAAAAGAAGAAGCTGGGTTGGTGATTAAGTCCAAGGGCTTAAAAATCTTCCCACAGTCAAGGGAGTCTTCTTCTTTGAAAATAACACAATAGCTCTGGCTTGCTCAGTGGTTAGAGCATCAGCCCACAGACTGAAAGGTCACAGATTCGATTCCCTGTCAAGGGCACATACCTTGGTTGCAAGTTTAATTCCAAGTCCCAGGCGAGGCTCTAGCGGGAGGCAACCAATCAATGTTTCCTCCCTCCCCGTTCGCCCCCCTCTTCCCTTCCACTCTTAAGGAAAAAAAAAAAAAAAAAAAAAAAATCAAAGGAAAAAATATCCTCACTCCTTGGGTAAAGATTAAAAAACAAAACAATACAATATCCACTGTATAAGTTAACCCTCAACAAAATTAGTAGAAAGTCCACAAAATAATGAAATAATCCTTAATGCTTTCATATAGAGAAGCACCTTAAAAAAAAAAGTTAAAAGTGGTATTCTCAAAATAATGGGATTATAGTTTCTTTTTTATTTTCTTCTTTGTCCCTTTTTGATTTCCCAAGTATTCTATAATTAGTATATTTCAGAGTACAGATTGTGGTGCTTGTTTAGGTTCTAACTGCAACTCCATCCTTGTGACTTGGTACTATATAATACTAGTTTCCTCACCTACAAAATGGGAACAGTATTAGCACCCACCACTCAGGGTTATTGAGAGAATCATTAACTCAGTAAATGTACAGTGCTTAGAACCGTGACTGGAACATAAGCACAACATAAAAAGTAGATATTATTGCCCTAACTGGTTTGGCTCAGTGGATAGAGTGTTGGCCTGTGAAGTGAAAGGTCCCAGGTTCGATTCCAGTCAAGGGCATGTACCTTGGTTGCGGGCACAACCCCACTGGGGGGGGGGGGGTGTGTGTGTGTGTAAGAGGCAGCTGATCGATGTTTCTCTCTCATCAATGTTTCTAACTCTCTGTCCCTCTCTCTTCCTCTCTGTAAAAAAATCAATAAAATATATTTTTTTTTAAAAAGGAGATATTATTATCTGTTAGTCTAATTATAAAAAATGTCCAGATTAAAAGAAACACATTTAATCATCAGAAAACTATTATGAATGAGATATAGAGTAGAATTGAGAGGAAAAGAATAGTCAGCCTGCGGACTGAAAGGTCCCAGGTTCGATTCCGGTCAAGGGCATGTACCTTGGTTGCGGGCACATCCCTGGTAGGGGATGTGCAGGAGGCAGCTGGTCGATGTTTCTCTCTCATCGATGTTTCTAGCTCTCTATCCCGCTCCTTTCCTCTCTGTAAAAAAAAAAAATCAATAAAATATATTTAATTAAAAAAAAGGAAAAGAATAAAATTCTCCATGTGAAATCAATGACATCAAGTCTATAGGAGTTCTAAAATTTTGATTCTTTAAATTTTACCTGACTGGTGTCTTCTGGATTGTTTTCTGAACAGTTTAGCATCGTTAACAGCTCAGGCTGTTTCCTTTCCAACTGATCAAGGAGCAGTTCACGTGGTTCAGTTCTCACCAGTGTTGATGGATATAAGTAATTTTTCCTCTGTGGTGTTGTACCTTTAGCAGACAACATTTAAGGGGGGAAAAATGAAGTGTGGGTTATAAATAAGATTTTTTTATTAGAAATTATACTAGTCTTGTCACTTGTTAGACTATATTGCTTACAACTAACAATATTTCCTAACTTGACAAGTGATCTTAGACACAATTTGTTTTCAAGATTCAATCTATCCCAAAACATAAAGTTTTTACATCTCTGAGGCTATACAAACTATGTGTTATAGGCTTTAAAAGGAGTCAGCCCTAACCAGTTTAGCTCAGTGCCTTGAACATTGGCCTTCAGACTGAAGGGTCCCAGGTTTGATTCCGGTCAAGGGCATGTACCTTGGTTGCGGGCACATCCTCAGTAGGGGGTGGTGTGCAAGAGGCAGCTAATCAATGTTTCTCTTTTCGATGTTTCTAGATGTTCCTAACTCTCTATCCTTCTCCCTTCCTCTCTGTAAAAAATCAATAGAAAATACATTTTAAAAAAATTAAAAATAAATTCTCAGAGTCAGAATGTTCTGACAAATGGTAGCATTTTTGGAATAAGAGTAGTTTTCCCAACATGATCACTTTGATAGGAATAATCATTTCACTGTAAATTTGGTGGGAGCTAAATATTAACCAGTTAAACTTCTTTATAATGAACTCATACTCTCATAATTTACACGAGCATTTACTTTTTGTTTGCTTAACATTTGTAGTCCTAATTTTTTGAAAAAATATTACAGGACTCTTGGGGAATAAATACTTAACATCAAATCATTTTATAACTGCTTTAAAAAATCTTTTAAGTATGATTTATTTAACATAAAATTTACTGAGTTTTTAGTAAATTTCCAGGGTGGGCAACATTTACCACAATCCAATGAATAACTCAATTACTCATCCTGTGCTAAATAGCTTGTTAAACTTTCTTCCAAACTGGCTTCTCTGAATCAGTATAGCCTACAGTGACATTTGTAACCTCTGACCTCCCAAAATGGTGATCCATAAATTCCAATCTAACAGTCCATGACAAAATGAGAGATATACATAACAAAATGCAGCCCTCGGTATGCCAAGGTTGCAGGTTCAATCCTTGGTCTGGGCACATACAAGATTCAACAAATAAATGCATAAATAAGTGGAACAACAAATAAAAGTTTCTCTTTCTCTTCCTCTCTCATTCTCTAAAATAAAATTTAAAAAATAATGAAATATAAAGAGAAAAGAAAGGAAATGCCACAGTACGATAAGCTTTGCATTAAAATAGACTTATTTAATTACATTCCTCTATTGTTTTTAAAATAGCTTTTATGGGCTTTATAAAGAGAGGAAGGAACAAGGAGACAGAAACATTGATGAGAAACATCAACATTGATCAGCTGCCTCCTGCACCCTCTCACTGGGAACCCAGCAAGCAACCCATGCGCCCTGACTGGAAGTGAACTGGTGCCCTCTTGGTGCATGGGTAAACACTCAAACCACTAAGCAACACAGGCCAGGCTCTAATTTTTATATGAACAAAAAAATATAAGAATGTAATTCAATAAATTATAGTTCTAGATAGATGGTTCATTTTTTTATTTTTAAAATATATTTTATTGATTTTTTACAGAAAGGAAGGAAAAGGCATAGAGAGCCAGAAACATCGATGAGAGAGAAACATCAACCAGTTGCCTTCTGTACATCCCCTACTGGGAATGTGCCAACAACCAGAATTTATGCCCTTGACTGGAATTAAACCCAGGACCCTTCAGTCCGAAGGTCAAGGCTCTATCCACTGAGCCAACATTTTGTTTATTTTTAAAATGTCCTCTCTTAAGTCAAAGCCAGTTCCCAAAATTTTAGTAAAATTTTGCTGAATTATGATGCCCAAATTTTTAGGAGTATATATGTTACCTATATCATGATATTTAATGCTTAAAGCTATTTTAGGGTTCTAATATTTCCATATTCGAGTTGATTACAGGTAATGGTAAATTCCTATCAGGCTGTGGCAGGATCTAGTTTTCCTAAACATCTGGCACTATATAAGGTTGAATTCAACTTTAAAAATTTTACCAATTCTATTTCCCTCTTAAAGTACCTGTTGGGATATCCAGCTTCAGATCCTGTTGTAGAAAGCAGTTGAGCTTAGTCAAACCAATTTTTATGGTTTCATTAAGTTCTAGACTTTGTGCCATTAATTTTTCTTCATCAATATTTATCTGACCAAGAAAACTGTTACGATGGTTCTCATTAGCTTCTTTATGTCCACTTAATTTTTCAGTAATCTCTGAACTTGAAACCTCACAATTTTTGTTTACAACCTGTAAATAATGCAAATGAGCTTTTATTATTAAAATCAAAGTTATCAGTGTTGTATTCAATACATCTTTCCCCCTTACCTTGATATTTTCTATAAAATGTTTTAAAAACACATGCAAAAATAGAGAATTAACACCTCTGTATTCATTACCCAGCCACAACATTTATCAACAAATGGGGTTTTAATCAAATAAGGTTGTCCATTTACTCCTTTTCCCCTCAGGATTTTTTTAAAAATTTCTTTATTGATTAAGGTATCACATTATTTATCCTCAACCCCCTATTCAACCCCCCACCATTCCCCAATCATACCCCCATCCCCTTTTGTGCTCCTGTATCATTTCATCCATTTACTTCAGTATATATTGTAAAGAGAAGAGCTTTTCAAGGCCATTCTCACATCAAAAAATTTAACATTAGTTTCTTTACATCAAATGTCTAATCAAATGTCTCAAGTGTTTTTCACAACTTGTTTGTTTGAATTAGCATTATCATTGATATGTCTTAAGGAGGTCCTATATAATTTATCATCCAAATGGAAATAGTTTACAGAGTGAAAGGGCCATTCTTAGTAATTTCCTAGTACAAAAGATGTATAAGAGGACCAATCCAGACAAACTAGGACTTAAGCCCTCTAGTCTTCATAATCTTTTGATGCAGGTTTATCCTTCCTCATACTTTTCTCTTTGTAAAATAACTTGTTGTTGAAGAAACCAGGTCTTTGTTCTATTGAATGACCTCAAATTCTGGATTTGGCCAATTGCATCTCTATGCAATATTTTCATGTTTGTCTGTCCTGGGACCCTGAGTCTGCAGGCCGACGCTCTATTCACTGAGCCAAACCAGTTAGGGCTGTTCTCTATATTTTCTATAAACTAGTTAGATCCAAAGGCTTGATCTAAATTAGGTTTAATATTTTGGCAAAAATATTTCATGGGTAGTACTGAAAGCATATAATACCTGGTTGTATTTCTTATGTTATGATTAATCAGTGGGTTTGGGTGCAGTCACCAAAACATTTTTCTCCATCCATTACACTGCTAAATCAAGACAGAATTCCTTCGAGGCAGATGTATACTCAATTGTTTCCCTTTATAATTAGTTTTCAGAATAATGCATTGCTTCCCTAGCATGTTCCAAAGAAGGCCTATGAATTCATGAGTTTTAATGTATTTGATGTATTTTAATCTATTGTAGCAAACTCTTTCTATGCTCAAATTATACCATCTTTAAATACAGGCGTTTCATCAGGTATAAAAGTCTTTTTGACATAACCCCACTAGTCTTCCAATAGCTTCCTTATTGTTTGGTATGACAAGATCTCTAGGCCCATCAGATTCATTTCCAGCTTCAAACCTAAAAACAGCTATTTCTTCATTAGCCCTGGTTCCTTTTAGTGAAAATAACTTATGTAGCTGAAAATACTTAAATTCTTTTACTAATTCCTAAGATTATTAGTGAAATCCTGTTATTGCACAGAATGAAAAACCAAGCCAACAAAGGGTTCATGTAAGTGTTATGTTCAAACAAATCTTATCCAGTATCCTCTGAGCAACCAGAACAACATCCTAAATACTTTAAGCAGTAACAGATTTGAATGTACTGAAGAAAAGTAAAAGGCATATAAAAGTGGAAGGTAATATACATCAAAAGATAAAGTCCCCTTAGCTGAAGGAATTAACAAGTCAAAAAACAAGGATACAGATCAAACATTAAATAATTTTGTGATCTAGGAGACAAAAACATGAAACAAGGCCATATATAAGTTATACTAACTATAATATACTTTAAAATGTTGTCATTTATTATATTTTTAAATGTCTTTTGTTTTTAAACCAATCCTTAGCCAAGAATATTTAATTTATCTCTATTTTCCCCAAGTAGGTTCCAGGTCCAAAGTTATTACCTGCAATAAGTTCTGAATTTCCTCTTCCCTTTTATGTAAACCAGATAGCCACTGTTCAGAAAAACCAAGCGCGCTTGTGTTCAGAGCCTCACATCTCTGTTCAATGTCTTGAGATGTTATTTCAAGGTTGCTATTGAGTTTATCACAGTGTTTTGCACACTCTTCAACCAATTTTGTACCTTCTTGGTTAAAATGTCTGAGTTCCTGTGATAAGCCATCAAAATCAGCACAAAACTTTGTACTGTGAGAAGTTGTTTTGCTGATTATATCCTTAGATTTCCTATAGGAAAAGAGACCAACATTGTCAAAATGGAAAACTTAGACTCAAAGGATACACAACTTGCCCAAGGTCACACAGCTCACAAATGGCACATTGAAACCTGGCAGTCCGGCTCCAGAGCCCTTGTTCCTCTCTCTCCCACCGGGGAGAAGGAACGCTTTGGCCAGTGTCTTTTCAGACTGACATCACAGCTGCCATTAGATGACCTTGGAAGGTATCTTTTCTCATAAGGCCTCCTCCAGATATGATGCTTTACTTCTACCTCTTAGATTACTAACTATACAATTATCAAAATGAAATCTGTCCACATGTTTTATTTCTCCTACTGGATTATGATATCTGAGGGCATCTACAGCCTCTAGTCTAATCCCTAGATGGTTCCCAGTCACTGTGTTCTTTTACAGTTTTGCCTTATTTATGACGTAAAGTCATAAAAATTATAAACTTTGTAAAATAAAAAATTAACTATAAAGCTTTCTAATAATTATAAGAAATAATAGAAAGGGGGTGCTAATCCAAGGAGACAAGAAAAGATTTGATTTGAGGTATTGGGAACACAGTGCAATATACAGGTCTTAGAAAACCTCACCTAAAACCTATATGTTCATGTTGGCCAATGTCAATTTAATTAATAAATATTTAAAAATAAAGAATAAAAAAACTTAAACCCATCCAATGTGGCTAAGTGGTTGAGTGTCGACCTATGAACCAGGTGGTCATGGTTCGATTCCCAGTCAGGTCACATGCCCGGTTTTCTAGCTCAATCTCCAGTGGTGGGTGTGCAAGAGGCAGCTGGTCAATGATTCTCTCTTATCATTGATGTTTCTATCTCTCTCTCCCTCTCCCTTCCTCTTTAAAATCAATGAAAATTATTTTTTAAGTTAAAAAATAATATACATATAACACAAATGTAACCTTTACATAAAACTGTCAGTTAAAATATACATTTAAAATTCATGTGGCTTCCTCCTCTCAGTCAGGTTCCCTTGAATAGCCTTCAAAGTCACCATAGTATAGGACAGGGGTGGGGAGCCTTTTTTCTGCCAAGGGCCATTTGGGTATTTATAACAATATTCGAAAGCCATACAAAATTATCGACTTAAAAATTAGCCTGCTATATTTGATCAAATGTTTAACTAACTCACCCCTAATGCTTTGACAGGGCCAGACCAAATGATTTTGAGGACCTAATATGGCCTTTGGGTTAGCTGTTCCCCACCCATAGCTATAGCACCACAGAATTAAACTGAGGAATGAAAGTTACCATCTATCACCACTAGATGGTACACCATGTGAGTAAACCAAGTGAGTAAGCATGTGCGTTAAATACCAAAGTTCAACCACAGATTAAGTGGAAATGATCGAAAAAAAGTGTTTAAGTGGTAAACTTGGAGACTGTCAACACCAATGTATCCCCTCAAGGAATCACAACCTCGTAGGTAGATGAAGCTTATTCAGAAGTGACTGCATACTCTGATAGTAAATGCTGAAAGCAGGAGGTCTCAAACTTTAGTATACATAAATCTCACCTAGATTCTTGGGCCTGATTAACTCTTACATGCACACAATGCCAGGAAGATAGGAAAAATGACTTGCTTAGGCCTTCAAGTATACCATGGTTCCTTTCCCTTCCTATTTCAATCCTACTCCTAGTATTTCCTTTAAAACTATGGAATAAGCCAGTCCTAAGTCTAGACACTAGGAAAACAAAGTTGCGCCGGGACCGGTTTGGCTCAATGGATAGAGCGTCGGCTTGGGGACTGACGGGTCCCAAGTTCGATTCCAGTCAAGGGCATGTACCTTGCTTGCGGGCATATCCCCAGTAGGGGTTGTGCAAGAGGCAGCTAATCGATGACTCTCATCGATGTTTCTAACTATCTCTCTCCCTTCCTCTCTGTATAAAATCAATAAAATATATTTAAAAAAAAAAAAAAAAAAGGAAAACAAAGTTGGGAAACACTTTCTAGATACAGATTCAAGAAAGAAAAGTTCAGAATGGAACATGTGCCAACCAAAAGACTGAAAAACAGAAGATAGAAGTTCGGTAGTAAGACAGGTGCTAGCCAGAATTCTACAGCAGCTCCATTCAATAGAAATATAACACTGAGTCACATATACAATTAAAAAACTTGTAGAAAGCAACAAATGAAAACGAACAACTTCACAGACACAGACAACAGTATGGTGGTTAACCGAAAGGAGGAATAGGAAGGGAGAGGTTAAAAAGAGTAAAGGGGTCCCCCAACTGAGGGACATAAATATTCTAGTCCTGAAAAAAAGGAAGGTCATGAAAAACAAACTAAACAACTGCTCCAGCAGGCGGGGCTGGTGCGGCCAGGCCCGGAGCAGCGGCTGCCAGGCTGGGAGCGGCCAGGCCCGGGGGAGCAGGCGGGTCGGGTGCGGCCAGGCCCGGAGCAGCGGCTGCCAGGCTGGGAGCGGCCAGGCCCGGAGCAGCAGCAGCCAAGTCCAGAGCAACTAGGTCGGGAGCGGCAGTGACCAGACCCGGAGCAGCTGGTTGTGGAATGAACCAGAGCAACAGAGGCCAGGCCCTGAGCAGCCAGGCCCAGAACAGCTCGCTCCTTGCCTGCCCCTGCCCCACAGCTGCTTCTCAGACATGGCTGGAAACTTTTGTGGGAACTTGAGGGTCTGCTGAATCAAGTGATGAAGGCTTAGATCTGGATGTGTTGAGTTAGTTTAGGACTGGGGTGTTGATCTGTGAGTGCCTTGGGTGGGGCCTGGATGAGGCTGGTAGAGCTATTGGGAAATGTCTTTTGTGTGAAGTGTATCATTGGGCATGTGGAGGTATTATTGATATGAGAAAATGCTAAGTAACTGATTTACTATCTGAAAAGGGATTTACTATTGGGGAAATTGAGGGAAGAAGAGACTGAACATAAACTGCACCATGGATGAGGACAATGGGGGATGGGGAGGGGGCAGAGGGTGGGGTGGGAACCTGGTGGAGGGAGGAAGAAATGAGGAACCTTTGTAATAATATGAACAATAAAGATTGATTTTTAAAAATAAATAAATAAATAAATAAATAAATAAATAAATAAATAAAATAAACAACTGCTCCAGATTAAAGGACACTCGAGACATGACAAATGCAATGCATGATCCTGGATTAAACCTTGGACCAGGAGGAAAATTTTTTCCTTTTCCTATAAAAAATGTTAGTGAGAAAATTGACAAAATTTGAATTAGGTATGCATATTAGGTAATAACAGTTATCAATATTAATTTTCTGATTAAAAATAATAATTACACTAGGGTTATATAAGAGAGTATCCTTGTTTTTAGGAAACACACATTAAAGTATTTATTGGAAAGTATGCAATTACATCTATAATACATTCTCAGCTAGTTCAGAAAAGATATATATATATATATATATTTTAGAGGGGGGGAAATATGAGAGGAATGAGAATTATAAAGCAAACATGATAAAATGTTAAATGAGAAACTAGGTTGATTGTTTTTGTATTATTTGAAGCTTTTTATTCTGAAAATAATTTTAAGCAGAGAAAAGTTAAATAGATTTTTAAAACAACTTACTGCTCAGTATTTTTTTGGACATTGTGAAGTGGTTTCTGGATGTTTTCACACTTTTCCTCCAAAGCACAGAATCTCTCTCCCCAAAGATTGATTAACTGGCAAAGTTCCTATAAGAAAAGTGTGGAAAAGATTGAAATTATGACACTTGAACTTTTTTTCTACTTTGACATGAAGTATTTTTCATAAGTGAGTGTTATATAAATTCCTTATAAGAGATCTTTACCTGTTTCCCACAGAGGAAAGCAGTGGAAGTTGATATTAAAAGGATTTCATAGGGATTAAAAAATATTAGCAACTATGTATCTCTTAAAAACCAAATACATTATGTTTTTAGAACCACTTTGACAGATACATACAGTTGCTTCTTAACTGATGACAATATTGGAAGGAAAAAGTAATGCTGACAATCTCATCAGTCAGGCAACCCAAAATATTTAGATTTTGTTATCAATTACTATAGCTGAAACATTTTACAGATGACATTAGTAAAATGTCAATATAGAATATTACCTTTGCTCATGCTTGGCATCTTTCAAAACAAGCTCTTATAGGCTTACAATATGCTAATGACTTGTAGTAAAAACCAAGGAAGAGCTGAAAAGGCACCCAGCCTTATTCATTGTTCAGTCCATCCTTTTTTTTTTTTTTTTTAAATATATTTTATTGATTTTTTACAAAGAGGAAGGGAGAGAGATAGAGAGCTAGAAACGTCGATGAGAGAGAAACATCAACCAGCTGCCTCTTGCACACCCCCTACCAGGGATGTGCCCGCAACCAATGTACATGCCCTTGACCAGAATCGTACCTGGGACCTTTTAGTCCGCAGACAACGCTCTACCACTGAGCCAAACAAGTTTCGGCTATTCAGTCCATCTTTGAATACGACATCAGCTGATAAAACATATCTAACACTTTGATTATGAATAAACTTTCAGTATTTTTACTAGTCTCAGAGTAGAGGGAAATGCAGATATTATCAGATTTACCTATATGTAAATAGGTGTTCAGAGTTTTACATAACTGTTTTGTTAGTGTTCACTTAGTAAACTTGCTTCCTTAAACAGGGAAATCAACCATCCATGCTAAAATACTTTTCAGATCATAGGTATTTTGTTTTTATTTTTTAATTTTTTTAATTATTATTATTTTTTAAATATATTTTATTGATATTTCACAGAGAGGAGGAAGGGAGAAAGATAGAGAGCTAGAAATGTCGATGAGAGAGAAACATCGACCAACTGCCTCTTGCACACCCCCTACCGGGGATGTGCCCGCAACCAATGTACATGCCCTTGACCGGAATCGAACCTGGGACCTTTCAGTCCGCAGACTGCCGCTCTACCACTGAGCCAAACCGGCTTCGGCGGTATTTTGTTTTTAAACATTTGATTGCTAATTTTAATTTCAAAATAGCTCATTTATAGAGTTGATCTTTATAAAATACATACATAAAAAATTCTAGGCAAGTTTAAGATAAATTTCCTATGCAGAGGGTATAAGAAATTGCTGCAATTTCAAATTGTAGAAATATATTCAAGAAATATATAGAGCTGAGTGGATAGGGCATCGGTTTGGCTCAGTGGATAGAGCAATCAAGGTACATGCCCTTGACCGGAGTCGAACCCGGGACCTTTCAGTCCCCATGCCAACGCTCTATCCATTGAGCCAAACCGGTTTTGGCGGCCTATATATTTTTTAAAAATACTGTGAAGGAAATATATTTTTAAAAAATACTGTGAGGGCTCTTTGTTTCCTCATTAAAAAACTGAGCTAGTAATAAATCCTGTATTGATATTGGTGGGAAAAATTAAACACTAAGTTGCTCAATAAATGTTAACTATGATTTTTACTAATTTTTGATAGTAATCCTTTCTGATAAGTTTCATTTTAAAGTTGCTTTATTTCTTACCTAAAAATCTTGGATATGTTATTCTTCTCATTTTTGGTGATGTAAATATGAATTCCCTCTCCCTTAAAAGGAATCCTTCACTACCCACTACATTATGTCAACAGTTTTACTGACCAAAGAGTTCTTCCATGTAGTAATAACTTCGCTTAATAAAAGTTTAGACATTCAATACACTAAAGAATAGTTTACATGGAGAAAGAAAAATCATGAATTACATTTGTAATCAATTAATAGAAATTAAGAACTGTTTTAATTTATTACAATTTAAATTTCTGACATCGAGGGAAAGAAACTATAACAGGAAAGCAGGGCATAGTTTATCAAAGTAACTATACATGTTACCACACACAAAAAATAATTTATCAAGATGTAATTTAGACATGCAGGCTCACTCAAAATGCTTCATGTAGCAAATCCTCAAATATTAACTGATCAATAAAAGTATCCTCAATTATTTTATATTAATTACCGTTATAAGCAATAGCAGCTTTGGTATTTTCAGGTTTCTAAAATAGTTAAACATTCAGATTGTGTAACAGGGATTATCAAGTTAAAGATCATAACATTTTCTTTTTTACACTCCCCACATCACCTAAATAAAATACCTGTGAATGGGTTTTCTTTATTGTCTTAAGTTCTTTCGTTAAATTTTCACACTGCTTCTGTGATTCAGCCAAGGAAGAAATTGTATTTTCTTGTAGTTCATGTAGATTGTCACATAGTGTACTGAGAAAGCCATCCATTTCCTTTTTCTGATCTTCTATCTTTGAAGAAAGGTAATTAATTACTTTCTTATTTTAAAAAAAGTTATTTGTGTTTTTTTTCAAAAACATACAAAATAGAAAAGGTAGACAAACTTTTCTCTCCAGCTTCTAGAACCCCAGTTCTATTCCCTCCTGAGATGATTGCTACCATTTTTAAATACTTCCAGGCATTTTATATATAACTAGGCATGTAAGCATATATGTATAGATGCATTATCTTCCTCAACCACGATATGATAGCATGCTATATGTTACTTTGCCAACTTAAACATTTATCTTTATCATTCTAATTTTTCTTAGCCATCATTCTGCTGACTACATCAATGGCAGAGAGTATCTAAACTCCTCCCTAATCTAGATTCCTTCTCAGAACCCATCCATTTTATATGTAAATCTCCAGGTGTGGTTTCAGATAGTTTCTTTCCTTTTAAATAACAATTTGATTTGGGGATAACAACATTTATTACCTTATTAGCCACTGTCAGTGAAGTTTTGAAAATATGCTTTAGTTGACTATTGATTTTCAGTACAGCCAACACAGTGGGGGATAAAATTGTTTCCAGTGAACTTAGAAGGTCAGTCTTAAGTACATTCTGTTTTAAAAATAAAAACAAACAAGGCTTAAAAAGAAAAATAATATTTTCACTTCCATAAATGTGGTTAAATGTCTTAAATACTGTTAACTAAACAACACATATTAAAATCATATGTGTCGCCAAAACCTGTTTGGCTCAGTGGATAGAGCATCAGCCTGCGGACTGAAAGGTCTCAGGTTTGATTCCGATCAAGGGCATGTACCTTGGTTGCGGGCACATCCCCAGTAGGAGGTGTGCAAGAGGCAGCTGATCGATGATTCTCATCGATGTTTCTAACTCTCTATCCCTCTCTCTTCCTCTTTGTAAAAAAATCAAATAAATATATTTTAAAAAAATATTTACTAACAAGCAATGTCTGAAGTACAGTTTTACTTTCTTCTGCTAATGACTGTTCTTCTAATATCATATTAGAAATCTGAGAAACATGTTTAGACACATTTTCTGGAACAGATGAGAGAGATCCAAGTGCTGTTGTAGTAATGGTGTCTAATGCAAAAACACTGGAAGACAGCAGGTTACCTGTAACCAAAAAAAGAAAAAAGATGTGGACTTTAGCATTAACATATTTAAATACAGTTTGAACTATCCTGAAGTGATTGGCAAAATTATATCTCTGTTGTGGAAATTCATCATAACAAATAAGCTTAACGTAATTGTCTCACTATATAAGCAAGGAAACATTTTAAATACAAATTATATTTGTTCTACAGTATTCTGTAAACAGTTGACAAATCTATAGTATATCAGACCCATAACTATAACTCACAGTAAACAAAGAACTAGAATACTCTAATATTAATCTCCAACTAAAAGTAATATACTGTAGGTTAAAAGAGGTCATAGAAGAAAAGAGAAACTAGAAATCAATAAACAAATTTTATAGCACTTTGCCGGGACCGGTTTGGCTCAGTGGATAGAGCGTCGGCCTGCGGACTGAAAGGTCCCGGGTTCGATTCCGGTCGAGGGCATGTACCTTGTTGCGGGCACATCCCCAGAAGGGGGCGTGCAAGAGGCAGCTAATCGATGATTCTCTCTCATCAATGTTTCTAACTCTCTATCCCTCTCTTCCTCTATGAAAAATCAATAAAAAATATATTTTTTAAAAAAATGATACATATACATATTCTGACAATATAGCAAACATGCAAGATGTATATTTTCAAAAGAAAAAGATGCAAAATGTTTATGTACAGAAAATTTCAAGAAACTCAAGAAATTTAACAGCAGTGTCTACAGAGAATGAGACAGAGTCAAGGTTAAAGGGACTTTTACTTCTAAAAGTTTATACACTTAGTTATTGTTTAATAAACATGTTATTTTATAGAAAACAGGAAAAAACAACCCACATAAGATTTTTGTTTTCATTTGAAGGCAGTGAAAGTATTAATTTCTAGTCTGAACATAGTGTGTGCACTAGTTGGTCCGAAAGTTGTGAGTTATTGTTAAGCTGATTAACATAGTGTGTGCACTATCACCCGAATTTTTTTATTTTATAACTATGTTTTAAAATTAGTCTCCCACTAAACATACAATGATTAGAATCATTAGAAATGCTTGAACTTACCAAACAAGGTCTTGTGAACTTCCAGCATGGTCTTTTGTTTTGAGCTGCCATCCCTTATTAATTCTTTCATATTATTAAACAGGCTATTCAGATTTTTGCCAAAAATATCCTGAGCTTCTGCATTATGCTCATCAACTGCCTTCTTACGATCCAGTTTGGAATGGAGACCAGATACATCTTTTGTAGTTTCTTCAACTGTGTCAAGCAACTATATATTATTTAAAAAAAAATAAATGTTGATAAGATGGATATGACAAAAGCCGTCTACGAAAGTATCTGTGCTACGTAAGGATTGCTCGCATTGAGAACTTGAAAGTTTTATATATTGCATCAGAAGAAATTTTAAAACTCATGCTAATTTACCTGAGAATGTTTATTTCCCCTTCCTAGCCATCTAGACAAGGAAAACTGGTTTTGCCAATTATAGTAATTATACTGCCCTACAAGGTTTTTTTTTGTGCATATTATGTGTTCTTATTTCCTCAAAAATATACCTAATAAAATATTAAAAACTTTCAACAATTCCATCATTGATTTCTGATTAACTCCAATCATGACCATAGGAAAAAGTATTACATCATTATTATAAATGTCCATAAGGAATATTAAAATCATGTTCTATTTTCAAAAGTTCTGAAGATTTTTCCTTAATCTAGCATCTCCATGAGGAAAATTTAGATGAAATAAAATAACATTTTTTAAAATTGACAGAAATGTGAATTTGGGGTGAATAATAGAATTTCACAATTAATGCTACAGACAACAAAGTAATTTACTTCTACCCATTCACTAATTCCTTCAATGCAAATACAATCAAAACAAAGGCCAAACCTTGCTGGCAGTGTCATGAAGCTTCTTCTCAGTGCTTTCCAAAACTGACGACACATACTCCTCTTTCACAAGCTGTAATTTAGTTTCTTGTAAATGTTTTTGAGTGGTTTTAAGTTCCTGTGTCTTACTTTGCAGGTCAGATTTACACTGATCAAGTTCATTTTTATTATCCACAAATAATTCTGTAACCTAAATATAATACATTAAACATTTTTTAAAGAATTAAAGTGCTAAACTGATTGGTGAGACACCTAGCTAGTTCATAATATAATATTAGAAGAACCAAATTATTTCCATGCAAAACTGTAACAAATAGTAAGTTTCCAGGTAGGTTAGTACATCTTATATGGCATCTGGTTTCTTCCTGTAAGTTAATTAAAAACAAAACAGGTCTAGTGTGATGGTATTAATTCTTTGGGATTTATCCAACACTGCCTGTGTGAGGCTGGCACAAAAGGATCAGGTCTTTACATCTAAGTTATTTAACTTGTTTTCTCACAACATCCCATTCCCTCATCTGATAAACACATTAATGAAAAAGTCTCAGCATTCACTATTTTTTTTAAACATATATTTTTACTGATTTCAGATAGGAAGGGAGAGGTAGAGGGAGAGAGAAACATAAATGATAAGAGAGAATCATTGATCGGCTGCCTTCTGCATGCCCCCTACTAGAGATGGAGCCCACAACCCAGGCATGTGTCCTTGACTGGAATCAAACCTGGGACCCTTCAATCCACAGGCCAATGCTCTATCCACTGAGTCAGACCAGCTGGGGCTCAGCATTCACTATTTAGCTTGACCAATAAAATCACACATTTCAATTAATTTCTTGTAATGTTGCATTGATGTACCAAAATAGTTTCTGCTCTGACCTAGCTCAGTTGGTTAGAATGTCATCCTGATATGCCAAGGTTGAAGGTTCTATCCCGAGTCAGGGAACATACAACAATCAACCAATGCCTGGTTGGGGTGGGTCAGTGATTGAGCACTGACTCATGCACTAAGGGCCATCAGTTCGATCCTATTCAGGGCACATGCCTGAGTTGTGGGCTTATTCCCCAGAGAAGGGCATTAAGGAGGCAGCCAAGCGATGTTTCTCTCTCACCTATATTTTTATCTCTCTCTCCAACTCCCGTTCTCTCTTTAAAATCAATAAAAACATAGTTTAAAAAAAGATTCAATCAATGAATACATAAGTAAGTGGAACAACAAATCGATATCTCTCTGTCTCTCTTCCCAAGTTCCTCTCTCTAAAATCAATCAATAGTTTTTTTAAAAAATTTTAATAGTTCATTACAATTGTGACAAAATTATGTTACAACTTATTTTCAGTATATGGGTCAGTCCCATATATTAAAAAAAAAAAAAATCTTCAAAGTATAGATTCCTCACATTCTGAAATTTTCTTTAAATATTTGCTTTTTACATAATATTCAATAGTGATTGTAATGCTTACCCTACTTAGCTCCTCCTCAAGGGCACCAATTTTTTCAATCAATTCTACAATCTGGTCTTCTTGAACAGTTAGTTTTCCATTCATGGCTCTGAAATAAAGTTTAATATAAATTTAACAATTAGCATTTTTGTCCTAATTCCTAAGCAATTTATTCTAACACAATTGTGGCAGTTATACATCAGCTTTGCCATTTGTCACTATCATAAAAATGATGCCTAGGTACCAATAAGCAATACACACAAATCGCAAAAAAAATGAATGTATTCTTTGTCCTTGTTTAATAATTGTTTTCCCGTTATCTCCATTTTGAAACCGAGAATCCCTACCCATAGGGAAGAAATGTGTGTACATAAAATTTGAGAAGCAATGAAGCTAACAGAGGAATACAACTCACATAAAAAAAGAGATGGGGGGGGAATACAACCTAAGTGTCTGTGATCAGGAAAATGGAGCATAAACAGGACACAAAACTGAAGAACAGAATTAAAGTATGGCAGAGCAATTACACTTCTCACTGCCTACTATACCTAAATATACCACAACACACATGTCACCATCAAACCACCACAGAAATCCTCAGGAGAGCAAAGGATTATTCTCTAGAGCAGATCCTCAGCCTCAGCACTACTGACATCATTTTGGACCAGATAATTCTTTTTCACTTTAATGGGTCTCTGATTTCTTAAGCATTAGCAAGTTTCAGAAGTGAATGCTGTCTTTTGTATTCTTTATCTTCCAGTTCCTTCATAACTATCAATTATTTTCTATTCCGCATTGTGCTAAATGGCAAAGATTCTTTTGTGAGTACAAATTTCCTCAAATTATTACCTGGAGATGTTGTTTATTAAAGGAAAAGTTACAACTGAGGTACAAGCGGAGAATTAGTTCTAACAGTCTTTTTTATTGTTGTTCATACTCACCCAAGGATATTTTTCCATTGATTTTTTTTTTTAAGAGAATCAGGAGATGGTAGAGAGAGAAAGAGAGAGATTGGTTGCCTCCCACATGTGCCCCAATCACCAAGGTCAAACCTACCTTGGGTGTAGGATCAAACCTACAAAAACCAAGGTATATGCTAACAGTCTTTTGATTTAACTTTTCTTTGAACGGCCGAGACCGGTTTGGCTCAATGGATAGAGCCGATTCCGGTCAAGGGCATGTACCTTGGTTGCGGGTATATCCCCAGTAAAGGGTGTGCAAAAGGCAGCTGATCGATGACTCTTTCTCATCGATGTTTCTGGCTCTCTGTCTCTCTCCCTTCCTCTCTGTACAAAATGAATAAAATATATTTAAAAATAATAATAATAATAAAATATAAAATTTAACTTTTCTTTGAACGAACTACTCCAGGGCTTTAAAAAAGTGAACAGATTAGTGGTTGCCGGAAGTTACGGATCACTGGAGAAGAACGAGGATATGAATATAAAGGGTCAGCAAAAGGGAGATTTTTGAGATGATAGTTCTGAACTACACAAACTTGAAAAAATAATAGGTCTATACACATACACTGTACCAATATCAACTTCCTAGTTTTGATAATGTAGTCAAGTTACTTAAGAGGTAATCAATTGGGGAAACTGGATGGAAAATACATGGAACCTCTTTGTACTCTTGTGAATCTGTAATTATTTAAAAAATAAAAAATAGCTCTGGCCGGTGTGGCTCAATGGTAGAGCGCAGGCCCTCACACAGGTTAAGGGCATGTGCCTGGGTTTCAGGCTCGTGCCCTACCCCCGTGTCTCTCTCTCCTCCCTTCTGCTCTCTCTAAATAAATAAAAAAAAAAAAAAAAAAAAAGTTAATATAAAATCTTTTTAAATTGTTTGATAAGTACTTGTTAAAATCAAAAGAAAAATAAGCATTGTAAAAAAAAAACAACAAATAAAGATTTTATTTACTGTCAAATAAGTAAATGTTACTTCCAACAGCCTGTTATCAGAAAATACTTATTCTTGGAAATAAATTTCCATAGCTAATGGCTTACCTAAAATTCTCCTCAGAAATGTACACCCCATTCTTTTCCCGGGCTGCAGTAAGATCTCGTTTCAGACGCTCTATCTCTTCTGTATATTCCTACACAAGAAGAATATTGAAGGTGTCAATATAGAACTATTTTAAAAATTTGGTTTGGGGACGATACAAAAAATATAAAAAGTTAGCCCTTTTATCTTATTTAAATCATAAAAATGTATGATAAAAAATTATAGCCATACTTTTCATTCAATATTAACCTGTACAGAATAGTCTTTCAACAGCTTTCAAAAAGCCTTTAAATTTACTCATTATAACAATATGGGCTTCTGAAAAACACACCACACAACCTCCAGTACCCAGGTTGGTCTTCAAGGGACATTTTACATTAAAAAACACATCAGGATTTTTTAGAGAACTATCCTGACTCTAGAGTGGGGGCAAGAAACATTCAAGATGAACCTAGGACATTTTGTCAAAGAAAATAAAAACAAAGCTAAAAGATCTTAAGATAATGAAAAGGGCTCAAGAAATCACTTGGAGCCCTAACTGGTTTGGCTCAGTGGTTAAAACATGGGCCTGCAGTTTGAAAGGCCAAGGGCATGTACATTGGTTGCAGGCACATCCCCAGTAGGGGGTATGCAGGAGGCAGCTGGTCAATGTTTATCTCTCATTGATGTTTCTAACTTTCTATCCCTCTCCCCTCCTCTCTGTAAAAAAATCAATGAAATATTAAAAAAAAAAAAAAAAAAAAAAAAAAAAAAAAGAAAGAAAGAAAGAAAGAAATCACTTGGAGAAGTTACCATAGGTCAAAGGAGAAACAATTTGACCATCACTGAGGATAATAGCTACAATGGATTAACACAAAAATTTTAAGTCCATGAGTTTATAATGACATTAAGAAAGCTAGAAAACCACTCTGGCCGGGTGGCTCAGTGGGTTGGAGCATTGTCCCATACACCAAAGGTTTTGGGTTCAATTCTCTGTCCTAGAGACAACTAATCTCTCTCTTTTTCTCTCTTCCCTCCTCCCTCTCCTGTCTCCTGTCTCCCTCTCTTTCTTAAAAAAAATTTTTTTCAATTAAAAATCATATCCTCTGGTGAAAAGAAAAAAAAAGCAAGCTAGAAAAATCAATGCATTATTGTCAAAACTGTCAAATAAAGGAAATCAAGCATTTTTCCTGCCTTTCTATAAGTATACCCTAGGGCAGTGGTCGGCAAACTGCAGCTCGTGAGCCACATGCCGCTCGCTCTTTAGCCCCTTCAGTGTGGCTCTTCCACAAACTACCATGGCCTGAGCGAGTCTATTTTGAAGTGGCATTAGAAGAAGTTTAAGTTTAAAAATTTGGCTCTCAAAAGAAATTTCAATTGTTGTACTGCTGATATTTGGCTCTGTTGACTAATGAGTTTGCCGACCACTGCCCTAGGCAAGTTCCTCATTATAGAGGTAGTCCAGCAATTAGTTAAGAAAAATTGAATTAGAAAATTACCATTTTATAACCCTTAAAGAACTAATGGATCAACTCATTGAATATCATCAATTTCTTAAAAAGATAAAAAAGCAGACTATGTGTTTCCTGGTGGGAGAATATACCACCACCTAAGAAACAGTTTTGCCAAAAATACACAAATAAGATTAAACTGGAATCTATGAAACCTCACGATCCAAAAAAATACAAAGAACAGAACATGTCAAAAGATACTATAAGGACAAAAAATACAGGTACTTCCACAAATAAATTAGAGGAGCAATAAAAGGTGTAAGGAGAATCAATGTACATGAGTGGATAAAGAAAAGCTGTGATACATTCATACAACAAAATACTACTCTCAGCCATAAATGTAATTACACCCTAATGTATAGTAACTATACATGTTACCCTTAAGTTGTAAATAAATAAATAACCTTTTTTAAATGTAAACATTTTTAAATTTTCTGATTTAATAGAATTGAGAAAGTCAACATGTTCGCATTAGAAAAAATATTTTAACATACAGGTATTTAGTTTATATTATTAAATGAAAACCCCTACCACAGGCAATTTAACAAATCTCTTAATAATTACTGCAATTCCTTATTTTCACATTTGTCAAACAAGATAACATTACTCCACAAAAATGCACAGTTACCTTAATAAGGGCTTTTTTGGTTAGTTTCTGGTTAACTTCAGGCTTATTCAGTATGTTCTTTGCTCTATGAGCATATTCCAATGTACTCAGCGTTTCCTGTGATGAAAAGACCAATTACTAAACATACTATGAGAATGTAGTTCTGTTACCTAATATGTACTATAACTCATAAGTAATAATTCATGGTTATAGCTAATCTGAAAATCTACCACTAAGACTATTGTACCCAATTTTTAAAAAAGAGATTTCTCAAAACATCCCTATCTTTTTTCTTTCTCCTCAATGTTTAGGGTATTTAACTTCCTAATAACTTGATCTAATAATTTTTTTTAATTCAATCAACTGATGAATAAACAAAATGTCCTATAACCATACAATGGAATATCACTCATCCACCAAAAGAAACGAAGTACTGATACATGCTACAATATGAACAATGAAAACATGGTAAGTGAAAGAAGCCGGTCACAGAAGAACACTTATTGTATGATTCCATGTATATGAAATATTCAGAATAGGCAAATCTATAGGTTAAGAAAAGTAGATTAGCCAAAACCGGTTTGGCTCAGTGAATAGAGTGTCGGCCTGTGGACTGAAAGGTCCTGGGTTCGATTCCGGTCAAGGGTATGTACATTGGTTGCGGGCACATCCCCTGTGAGGGGTGTGCAGGAGGCAGCTGATAGATTATTCTCTCTCATCGATGTTTCTAGCTCTCTATCCCTCTCCCTTCCTCTCTGTAAAAAATCAATAAAAATATATTTTAAAAAAAAAGAAAAAAAAAGTAAATTAGCAGTAACCAAAGGCTGGGAGTTGGGGCAGATTGGGGTGATGAAATATTTTAAACTTAGATTTTGGTAATGATTGCACAGCTCTGTGAACATCGTGAATTTTATGGTATGTGAATCATATCTGAATAAAAATATTTTTTTAAGTACAGGAGAATTAGAGACCTTATAAAGTTTTTCTAATTCCATTCAAAATAGATGATTATTACAATAAAGTAAGAGTCAATTCTGCCATCTTTGTTGCTTCTTTTGGTTTTCTCACCTATTTCAACATACCCAGCCCCACCTTCACTACTCTCTAAGCAGTCTAAACACCAACATTCACTTAACTTCTAACTCCTCAATTAAATCTCTATATCCCATGTAACCATATACTGCTAATGACCATAGCAATTTTCTTTGAAGACTGTGTGGAAAAAGCCACTAAGCAACTGGCTTTTTAAGATTAAAAACTCTGCTAGGAAGGAGAAAGACATTTTTCTCAGTGATGTCCTCCTCAATGTGTCCATATGCAATGTCCAGATTCTTTTCACTATAGTACAGAATACAGCCAATGGATGAACTTTTAAAACGAGACAGCACCCTGGCCAGGTGGCTCATTTAACTGGAGCATTGTCCTGTGCACCAAAAAGACTGCAATTTCAATTCCTGGTCAGGGCACATACCTAGGTTGTAGGTTCAATACCCAGTAAGGGTGTGTATGGGAGGCAGCCCATTGATGTTTACCTCTAAGAAAATTAAAAACAAACAAAGAGCCTGGCTGATGTGGCTCAGTGGTTGAGCATTGACCCAGGCACCATGCAGTCACTGTTGTGATCCCTGACCAAGGCACATGCTTGGGTTGCAGGTTCAATCCCCAAGACAGGGCATGCAGTAGGCAGCCAGTCGATGTTTCTCTTTCATAGATGTTTCTATCTCTCTCTCCCTCTTCCTTCCTCACTCTCTTAAAAAAAGAAAATCAATAAAAACATTTAAAAAATAAATAAATAAAATAATGTGATAGCTAAATAAGAATTACAGCTGCTATACTGGCAGATACTATTCAAAGGGCTTACCTCAATATTAAGAGATGCAGGAGAAATTGTAGCAATTATAGATGTTCTTGTACGTCCCCCAAGAGAATCCTGGAGGATTCTGGTTAGTTTAGATTCTCGGTAAGGAACATGCGGTGTTCTTTCTACAAGAGCAGTAATAACTCTTCCCAAAGTCAACAGGGATTGGTTGATATTTCCAGCTTCCCGAGCTCTCTTATCCACTGCTCCAGAACGGCCAATGTTTTCACTTCCTGCAAGATCAACCTTGAATTAAAAAAAAAAGAAAAGAAAAATAGGTTGTCATTCTGTTGGATTTGGACTTAAAGATGTTCATTCTCATATTATATATATTAACCAGCAAAGTAAGTTTTCTATAATAATAACAACTCACTACAAAGCTAATAACCCAGTGACTATAAAAATATTGTCTAGAAGTACAAAATTTCAGGCTGCTCTCTGACGGGATTAAGAATAAAATAATATGCTGAAACCAGTTTGGCCTGCGGACTGAAGGGTCCCAGGATTGATTCCGGTCAAGGGCATGTACCTTGGTTGCGGGCACATCCCCAGTGGGGGGAGTGCAGGAGGCAGCTGATTGATGTCTCTCTCTCATCGATGTTTCTAACTATCTCTCTCCTTTCCTCTCTATAAAAAAATCAATAAAATATATTTATTTAAAAAAAATGAAGAAGAGAACTACCAATCCCACTTCTGGGTAAAAATCTTTTATATATATATATATATATATATATATATATATATATATATATATATATTATTGATTTTGTACAGAGAGGAAGGAAGAGAGATAGAAACATCGATGAGAGAGTCATCAATCAGCTGCCTCTTGCACACCCCCTACTGGGGATATGCCCGCAACCAAGGTACATGCCCTTGACCGGAATCGAACCTGGGTCCCTACAGTCCCCAAGCCGACGCTCTATCCATTGAGCCAAACCGGTCTCGGCTGGGTAAAAATCTTAAGGGAATGAAATCAGTATTCAAAGAGAGATCTGCACGCTCATGTCCATTGCATTATTCAGAATAACCTAGATGTGGAAACCTAAGTGTCTGTCAATGGATAAATAGGTGGTATATACACACAATGAAATACTATTCAGCCATGGAAAAAAAAAATTCTACCACTTACAAGAACATGGAGGAACTTAGAGGACATTATGCTAAATGGAAAATAAAAACAGACAAAGACAAAAAGACAAATACCTTATGACCTCACTTGTATGTGGAATCAGCGAGGAGGGGGAGAAAGTCCAACTCATAAAAACGGAGGATAGAATAATGGTTAGGAAAGTACAGAGAGGTTAGGAAGATAGGGAGAAGATGCTGGTCAAAGGGTAAAGACCGTCAGTGTTAAGGTGAGTAAGTTCTGATATACACTAGTACAGTTAATTATACTGAAATTTGCTGGGAGTAGATCCTAAGTTTTGTCATAAAAATAATGATGATGATAATAATAACAATAATGATAATAATGTGAGGTAATGAATGTGTTAATTTGATTGTGGTAATCATTTTACAAAGAATATGTATATCGAATCATCACACTGTCCACTTTAAATATATAATTTTATTTGTCAATAAAGCTGGAATACAAACACAAGAATAAAACAGTGGTATTAAGATAGATGCTTACCAAGTTCAACTTCCCAATTTTAACAAGCTCCTCTCCATCAATTGTAGTTTCTTTCATATGTATTGTAACAGAGAAAACGGAGTGGGAACGACTAGAAAAGAACAAGTTACCCAGTCATTATAACACAAGATATTATTTAATTTCTACAAAATATTAAAAACAGCCACGAAAGATCTAGATCTACAAAAGTAAAGAAAGACAGTATCTGCCCTGGCTGAGTAGCTCAGTTGGTTAGAACATCATCTGGATGTGGCATGGTTGCAGGTTCAATCCCTGTCAGGGCACATATAAGAATTAACCAATGAGTGTATAAATAAGTGGAACAAATCAATATTTCTCTCTCTCTCTCTCTCTCTCACACACACACACACACACACACACACACACACACACACCTCTTTCTCTCTCTGTCTCAAAACCAATAAATAAAAAAAGAAAGATAGCCCTAACCAGTTTGGGTCAGTGGACAGGGCACCAGCCTGTGGACTCAAGGGTCCCAGGTTTGATTCCAATCAAAGGGCATGTACCTTGGTTACAGGCACATACCCAGTAGAGAGTGTGCAGAAGGCAGTTGATTGATGTTTCTCTCTCATTGATGTTTCTAAATCTCTATCCCTCTCCCTTTCTCTCTGCAAAAAATCAACATATTTTTTTTTTTTAAAAGAAAGATAGTACCTCACAGGAGGTTTTTGCTTTCTTGTACCTACTGCCTGTAGAATACAATAAGAAGCTATTTGAAAACACCCTGAAAGACTCAGGAACTAGAATCCCCAGGCACCTCTGAAAGCTGGATGTTGGGTAGGGTTGGGGACAGGTGCCTGATGTGTCAGAAGGGAAGGCTTGCGATAAATCTCCCTATTCATAAGAACCATCTGAAATATGTCATTACCATAAATTCAAACAGCTCCAGGCAAGCCATCACAGTGCTCTCCCAGTGTCAACTGCTATATAAAAGTCTATTGCTCTGTTTTGAGAATGTTATCAGAAAGGTAATTTCTTTCCCTGAACAGCAGAAATAGTAAGTAGCAGTGACTACCAAAACACTACAAGATAATCAGTTAGATTATAAAGTGTTCCAAAGTATATCTTATGATTTATATTGACATTTGGCTTTTATCTGAGGGATACAAAAATTATACAGCCATGCACAGCTTAATGACGGGAATATGTTCCGAGAAATGCATCAATAGGCAATTTATTGTTATGCAAACATCAGAGTGTACTTACACAAATCTAGATGGTATAGTCTCTACCATAATTGATTGTGCTATACTTTTATACAACTGGAAGCACAGGTTTGTTTATACCAGCATTTCCAGAAACACATAATGCTTTATTTCTACACTTGTTGACAGTTAAGATATCACTACATGATAGGAATTTTTCAGATCACTATGGAACCATTGTCAGATATGCAGTCTATCAATAACCAAATGCTGTTATGTGTCTCATGACTATATAAGACACCCAAAAACATATTTCCTTTATGTATCAATGACATTTGGAAACATCATTGTTTATTAATGTCACTGTTGGTGGGAAACATCATTGTTTATTAATGTCACTGTTGGTGGGTAATTTTCTTATTTGGACTTTTCATGTTACTTGAAAATTTTTTACAATAAATATCATTTTTACAAAACTTAATTTAAAATTACTGAAAAGGGGATAGGCACAATCTATAATAATAAAAGCGTAATATGCTAATTAGACCAGACAGCTGAACGACCTTCCAGACATCATTCTGGATGAAGCCACCATGGTGGAAACCACCATGGTGGCTTCATCCAGATCACCCTTAACCACCTCTATCTTGGCCCCCACCATGGTGGAAACCACCATGGTGGGGGCCAAGATAGAGGTGGTTAAGGGTGATCAGGCAGGCAGGCAGAGTGGTTAGTAGTAATCAGGCAGGCATGTGGTTAGGAGCCAGCGGTTTCAGATTGCAAGAGGGTGCAGGTTGGGCTGAGGGACACACACACACACACACACACACACACACCCCTGTGCACAAATTCATACACCAGGCCTCTAGTATAAACATAAACTGTAAATCTAAATCATCATATACATTTCATGTTTTTCTACCATTATAAACCCATTCCTAATCTAACATTGTGTAATTATTGCAATAAAACACATACATCAACTCTGTTTTGGAAATTTTAATTGTCTTCTTTTTATTATATATATTCATAAAAAGAGATCTTTACTCCAATCTACATTTTTTTAAAAGGAGACCCAAATTATACAAATTAATAAAATAATACGAATTTTGAAATATGGTTTTATTGATTTTTGTTTTTAGAGAGAGAGGAAAAAAGAGGGAGAAACATAGGTCAGCAGCCTCCTATACACACCCCATCCATGGATCAAACCTGCAACCCAAATATGTGCCCTGACCAGGAATCAAACAGGCCATCTTTCGGTACATGGGATGATGTTCAACCAACTGAACCACACCAGCCAGAAACAAAATAGTAAGAATTTTATGTTTTAGACAAAAGTTTTCTGAGAGGAAATTTTAGTCTTATTTTCATTCCTCCAAATTCTATATAAAATTAATTTACAAGCCAATCAGAATGGAAATTTCATTTTATGATTGATTTATAGCTTAAGTTTTAAAAATGGAAAGCTATTATAGAAAAATTTAAAATTAGGATTTTAATTACTTTCATGTTTTTTTTTTCTTTAAACGCATACATATTTTTATAAAATTGCAATTATAATTGCTTATGAAATTACAGTTATAACTATAAAAATTTTCAATAAGGGAGCAAAGAAATAAGAGATCTAGTCATTTTATACCTCAAGAAAACAGATATTCAGGTTAAGTTCATTTACTTACCCAAAGTCACATATTTAACTACAGAACTGGAACTAAACGCAAATACCTAATTCCCAATCCACAACTCTTCCAATTACAGTCTGACGTTTCCTTCAAAGACCAACAGGAAGAAACTCACTTCTAACTTTGTAAACTGCATTTGCAGAATTTGGGATTTATCCTATAGAGGACGTTATCAAATATGGCCTTTTGTCCCCTTGAAAGTCAGTTAGTGATCATCCATCTTCCTACATTAACAAGAAGCCGTTTGAAAATAAATCATGTTGTATAACCTAAATACATACAAATTTGTTAATCGTGCCTAAATAAAGTTGAAAAAAAAATAAAATAGTCATTTGATTTTTTTCTAATACTTCCTCAAACCAAGGTTTTTCAAACTGTGTTCTAAAAATACATAGTGGCTTCAGAAATGTGCTCAGAGAAAAATCTTCTTAAGGCTGAAGATAAGCCTCTGAGAATTCCATCCCAAATTCAACTATAGCAGCCATATTTTAATCAGGGCTCCCATGCACAATTTCATTTAGCAGATTAAACAATCTACTTTAGCCCTATTCAGCTTGGCTCAGTGGACACAGCGTCAGCCTGTGGACTGAAGGGTCTCAGGTTTGATTCCAGTCAGGGGCATATGTCCTTATTGCTGGCTCAATCCTCAGTAGGGGGCATGCAGGAGGCAGCTGATCAATGACTTGTTCTCATCATTAATGTTTCTATCTCTCTCTCCCTCTCCTTTCCTCTCTGAAATCAATAAAAATATATTTTTTGTCAAAACCGGTTTGGCTCAGTGGATAGAGCGTTGGTCTGCGAAGTGAAGGGTCCCAGGTTCGATTCCAGTCAAGGGCATGTACATTGGTTGCGGGAACATCCACAGTAGCGGGTGTGCAGAAGGCAACTGGTCAATGTTTCTCTCATAGATGTTTCTAGCTCTCTATCCCTCTCCCTTCCTCCTCTCTGTAAAAAATCAATTAAATATATATTTTATATACATACACACACACACACACACACACACACACACATATATATATAATATAAAATCTACTTTAAGATAGTTTATTGCTTCCGCTCTAGTTCAACTTGTCTTTGTTCTCCTTTCAGCATTCTTCCAATATTGATACTTCCCTATAAATCTCAAATCAATTACTAAGGCATGCAATCTAACATAAAATCTAGGTATGTGATTTAAACACTTTGACCCACCCCAATTTGACTTCCCCCAAGTTTGTAATTTTTCCTAAAAAGAAAATGGAGCAAGAGAAAGACAATGGCTCTCTTACCTGGAGTATGCATTCATTAACGTTGCTGCAGTTGTCCTCTTTGCTGCTCCCTTCTCCAAAATTTGATAAACTTCATCCTTGTTGTGAACTGTAATTTCTTCTAAACCTTTGATTATCACCCCTCTCTGACAGAATATTTTTAAAAAGCACCCATTAGATTGGTTAACACACCCACACTTCTCAAAGCATCACAGATTAAAATTTGCAGATATTTCATTCTCAAAGACTGAGTCACCTTGTTACGTGGATCATCAAACATCTGTAGTCTCTCAGAAACATCAGAAGATGGATTAAGGAGATCAAAAAGTTCTTCATTATAGATTTCCAACAGAGATACTTTGACTGAAAATTCAGTACCATTAGCAGTAAGTTTCTCAAAAATCTGATGAAGAGTACGTGGAATTATACCAGCCAAAGGATCCTGAAATTATGATATTAATAATATTAATATAGAATGGAATTTACTGTGGAATTAAAACTGTTAAAAATAAATAAATAAAAGCCAACCTAATGTTAGAAAAGCCAAGTCATTTACAACAGTCTATTTAAGAGTAATTATTCTTTATACCTTCCACTAATCTGCCATGCTTCCCAGACACTTTATGCCTGAGCATCACACAAAAACCAACTGAAATGAGCTGCTTATAAAGCCAAGTTCAATAATCTTTTCCAACTTTTCTCATGAATATATTACACTACATTTTAATCAGAAAAAGGGGCCCATTAAAAGTACATTCCCTAATTCTGACATAAGCAGGATTGTTTCTCAAATGTGAGACACAATTTCTCAAATTCTTAACACAATTGTTAAGAATCCCTAAATTTTGAAACTGTGCCTTAAGCCTATTCTGTATCTCCTACAGTTACAATTCCATGTATATATAAAGTTAATGACTCGACTATGTAGCCTCTAGAAAAAAAGGACCTACCTAAATGTTAATAATTTGAAAACTGACTTAGTCATTAAATCAATTGAAACATTTGGCGAAAATCATTGTGAAATGTACTATTTGTTCTCTACTATATTCAACAATGCAGTAATCTTAATTTCTTGAACACACAAGGTGATCACTAATAAAGTATCATTCTGCCCTTGCTATGTTAACTTTATGAGATTCATTCCCTCGTTGCAAGATCTTCCCCTTCAAGCCACACTCACATTTCACTTTTCCACAATATTCTGCTCCAACTATTCTGCCCCTTCTCTTAGCGCCTAACTGTACCCTATGTATTTATTGGCCACGTCTCTCCCAATGAGACAATACGTTTTTTAAACAGAAGCCATACCATATACTTTAACTTTACTAGAGGAGTAGTTAATCCTAAATTCCCACTTAACATGGGTACTTTTTCTCTATTTGAAGACCAAATCCTTCAACAAAGTTTTATTCAGTTATATTTCAGCTAGTTTAGAGACAGTCTGTTATAAGCAACAAATACCTCCTCCCAAGTATACTCTTCATTAGGTGATCTTTCCCCTTCCATTGTGAAGGTTTTTCCAGTGCCAGTTTGGCCATATCTGTCAAGATTAACAAAAATGTTAAATAAAAACCAAACAAATACATCTAAACCTTTTCATCAATTTGAAAAATAATATTTCACTCACGCAAAAATAGTGCAATTATATCCCATAATAACTTCATCCAGAATTGGACAAACAATACTTCGATAAACATCTATTTGTTTAGTAGATGCACCAAAAACCTATAAAGGAAAAAAATCAAGCTGAAGGTAGGCAAGGAGGGTAGGGGGGAACATCTGTAATAGTGTCAACAATAAAAATAAAGTTTTGTTGTTTTTTTTTAAATCAAAGCGTTTCTTCAATAAAAAAATTCTTAACTACCCACTTTAATAATTTTATTTTTAATATATTAACTCATTCAGCTCACTAGAAACCAATGACAACTCTAAGTCAACTGAAATTTGTCCTTGTACACTAGAACCTAGAGGAAATATGTATATTAGGATAACTTTACATTAGTGAATAATAGAGAAGTAGGAGCATCTTAAGAAGTACCATATAAAAATAAAGAAAGGCCGGGACCAGTTTGGCTCAGTGGATAGAACGTCGGCCTGCGGATTGGAAGGTCCCGGGTTCGATTCCGGTCAAGGGCATGTACCTTGGTTGCGGGCACATCCCCAGTAGGGGGTGTGCAGGGGGCAGCTGATCGATGATTCTCTCTCATCGATGTTTCTAGCTCTCTATCCCTCTCTGTGAAAAATCAATAAAATATATTAAAAATAAATAAGTAAAAAATAAATAAGAAGTACCATATCAAAAGTGTATGTTTTCCTTGAGCTCTTGTCAGCCAATCCTCCAGTTCGGACACTGACTTCTTTTCGTACGTGATCACATTCTACTACAGAATGGGCGCTAGCTTTCCGCTCTGCCAAATTAAATGGTCTATAAAGAGAAATGCATAATGTTATTTAAGAGCTTTTAGTTATCATGTTACTGATGAGATTTTCATTAATACCTTAGACAGGAACAATGTGACATTTTGACTGCTCTACTGGTGATAGGGACTAAATGGGGGCTAAGTGATACTGCTACAGCAAACAGAGTTTTAAGGATTTCAATTCCCAGAAATAAAATTAGTTTTTAAAAATTTCAAAGTTATGTAAAACATTACAATTCTGAAAGTTTCTTAGAGTAGATGCTAACAGAATCAACTTGTAAAAAATGTCACTTATTTTTTCAGAATTCTATTTCCACTATTCTTAGCATCTGATCAAATTAGGTTATAATGTAGTAGAAAGAACATGCCAATTTTGTGTTCAAAATACGAACCTGCCAAGTGGGTAACTGAACAAAATAAAAAATAGATACAAAAAAATGACTAATGCCTAGAGTTCTTCCTATGTTCCAAGTGCTTTATATGTGGTAAAACTCAGTTTGTCCTCACAGTGAGGTTTAGTGGAGAACAGTGACATAACACAAAGGATTATAAAAGAGGTGATGTTTAGAAGGGTATGTAAGGGGCACTGTTAGGAACATAGAGCAAAGATTTAATGCGGTCCTGATGGGGACAGGGCAGGATGGAGGAAGCATGGGTGATGGCAAAGACTTCCTGAGGAAGTAATCTTCTAAGCTAAATTCCTCCTTAGGCATTTCAGTACAGTGGGGACTCGGAGCCAGTCTGCTTGGGCAATGTAGCACTTTGCCTCAGTTTCCTCATTTGAAAAGGCCTAGTAATACCGCCAACCATTACAGTACCAACCAACCAGCAATGTCGGGAAAGAAATTTTTTGTTTACTGTTTCCCCTGAGTCTGCTACTATGCTTAGCAACCAGTAAGCACTCAAATATCTGTTAAATTACATTGCTTAATAAATGTCACCCCAAGAGAAATGATGGGAAAGCTAAAAACAAACCAAAAACACCCACAGTCCACATAGTAGCATCCATAAGATATTCAGATATAGTACTTAACACACATCCAGGCCAAAGAGAGAGATGTACTCTTGACCTGAGTTCATTGTTCCCAATGAGTATCATATATTATGGAAAGACATGCCAAATAAGAAATTATCTTTCCTCTCATCACTAGACAAGTCAAGTTGCTTTATTTTAAGAAGGATAACACAATGTGCTCTGGCATGCTGCATTCCCTAGCATATTTTTTGTTGTTGTTAATCCTCAACCTAAGATATTTTTCTGTTGACTTTTAGAGAAAGTGGAAGGGAGAGACAGAGAGAAACACATCGATTGGTTGCCTCCTGCACACACCCTGACCGGAATGGGGATGGAGCCTGAAACTGAGATAAGTGCCCTTGACATGAATCGAACTCGGGATCCTTCGGTCTGTGGGCTGAGGCTCTGTTTACCATTAAGCCAAACTAGCTGGGGCTCCCTAGCATATTTTTGACTGGTCAGAAGACCAAACGTGTGATCCTAGGAAATTTAACTTAGCAACTCCCAGGTAATATCTGGCAATGCTGTCATTTGCCAAATGTACTGAAGCCTAAACAATGCACACAGAATCCACAGCATGCATTATTAGAAGTTCAACAAAACCAAATCAAAACCAACTTATACTGAGAGGCCAAAGAGTATAAAGTAGAGTGAATTCTCATGTGCTTAAAGCTTTTTCAATTAGTCTACTATTCTTAGCAACCTTAAACAAATCTCTTGCAAGTGATTAAGTTACCAAATGAATACCATTCAGACTGTCAGGACAGAGTAGTAAAAATTCACAGAGATCACACATTCCTAAAAGTTATCAAAACTCCCAGAGGAGCTTTAGGGAGTCGTTGTATTACAAAAAAAAAAAAAAAAAAAAAAAAAAAAAAAAAAAGAGTACTACCAAGCCACTATTTTCCTATTCTGATTAGAAACTGCAAGATTTCTGCTGATGATATTAATAAACCCATCAATTCCTTGGCCTCGCTAATGTTCTATTAAAATTCAAACAGATGCCCTGGCCAGGTAGCTTGGATGGTTGGACAGTTGTCCTGTACATCAAAAGGTTTCAGGTTTGATTCCCAGTCATGGCACATAACTAAGATGTGGATTCAATGTCCATTTGGATCAAAACGAGAGGCAACTGATAGATGTTTCTCTCACTCTCCCTTCTTCTCTCTAAAAATCAATGAAAATACCCCTCAGGCAGAATCAAACAAACAAACAAACAAAAATAAATAAATAAACAAGTACAAATTGGCAGTTATAAAACAGTCACAAAGATGAAGAGTTCAGCAGGTAGTTACCTATAAAGGCCCACCCATATGATTGTCAGCTGATTTCTCAACAGAAACCATGCAGGCCAGACGGGAATGGCAAGAAAGATTCAAGGTGATGGATGAACAGCAAGAACCTACAGCCAAAGATAATCTATCCAGCAAAGCTATCACTCAGAATCAAAGGCCAGATAAAGAGCTTCACCAATAAAAAAAAGCTAAAGGAGTTCATCACCACCAAACCATAATTATATGAATTGCTGAAGGGGGTTCTTTCGGAAGAGAAAGAAAATAAAGATAAAAATTACGAACAACAAATACGTAACTATCAACAAGTGAATCTAAAAACCAAGGGAATTTAAAAAAATCTGATGAACAATATTAACTGTTGAATAGAATAGAATCAGAGGTATGGAAGGGGAGTGAACTGACGATTCTTGGGGAAAGGGGGAGAGGGGGGATGTGGGAAGAGACAACATAAACTGTGCACCTATGGATGAGGACAATGGGGGGGGTGGGGAAAGGGCAGAGGGTGGGGTGGGAACCTGGTGGAGGAGAGCAATGGTGTGGGGGGAAACATTTGTAATAATACGAACAATAAAAATTTATTTTAAAAAAAAAATCAGATACTGGGTGTTCAACAGTAGTGGCAGCAGCAGCAGCAGTACGCTGGCAGATTCATTCCTCTACTCAAACATTGGGCCACACAGTCTGCCTGACTTCAGGTAAAAGATGTTCAGCAAAACAACAGCAAACACCCACCATATAGCCCTGGCAAGAACTGTGCAGCAGTTAAGCCTCCAGTGAAAGAATCAAGGTTTCAGCAGCACCATGGACCTCATGTCCTATTTCGAGGAGTATGGCAGGAGAAAATTCCAACTACAGAAAACCTTTTCAAGAATAAAAAAAAAAAACTCTACACCATAGTATAGTGGACTAGTGAAACAGTCTTCTGTCAACAAAGCAAATTATAAGCAGCAAGTCAAAGAGATTTACCTTCAGCTTATTTGTAACCATTGCTAATAACTAAAATGTTCTTAACTTGGAATAATGAACTCTGAAGTCTTTATTTTCCAAGTTGTCCTTCCTCTCAAAAATTCTTTATGGATTTAATACAGAATCACAATTTTGTTTTCCATTTGGTAACTGGTGTCATATTGAGCTACAGTTTAAGGAAAGATAGTCTGAGCCTATTAAAAAACACAATGATATACTTTAAAATATATGAATAATTCAGATATGTTAAGACCTAAATTGCCTAAGCACTTTAGATTAAAATGCCAAAAATAACTTAAATCCTAAAATCTTTATATTATGTTCTCAATAGGGTTTCTGCCAACCTGTAGAATATACAAGGAGGAGAGGGTGTTTTGTATATGTATACGTGTCTTTGTATCAAAGCTATTTCCTACCCTAACCAGTTTGGCTCAGTGGATAGAGCATTGACCTACAGACTGAAATGTCCCAGGTTCGATTCTGGTCAAGGGCATGTACCTTGGTTTTGGGCACATCCCCAGTAGGTGTGCAGGAGGAGGCAGTTGATTGGTGTTTCTCTCTCATCAATGTTTCTTTTCTTTCTTTTTTTTAATTTATTTTTTACAGAGAGGAAGGGAGAGAGATGGAGTTAGAAACATCGATGAGAGATAAACATCAGCTGCCTCCTACACACCCCCCACTGGGGATGTGCCCTCAACCAAGGCACATGCCCTTGACAGAAATCGAACCTGGGATCTTTCCTTCCACAGGCTGAGGTTCTATCCACTGAGTCAAACCGGTTTAGGCAAAACATCCTTTATACTATACAACCTAAGCACTTTTCATTAGTGATAAAGTAAAATAAATTTATGGGGATAATAAGCACGAAATTCAGGGAAATGTTTAACTCTTGGAATAGAGGAAAAAGGTTGGGGAAAGGGATGAATGCACTGATGCTCCAGCCGTAATGACTATTTTTGTTTCTAGTCTGGGTGATGGATACACAGACGTCTATTACAGTATTCTTTACAACTTTTTATAGGCTTGACATATTTTGTAACAAAAATAAAGAAAATAAAACCACACAGCAATGTAATATTGTCTAGCTTTATTAATGAACCAAAATAATCTAAAATTTTTCATTTGTAAAACAGGCTGCTGATTTAAAACAACAACAACAGAAAAACTTTCAAAACATAAGCAACTATTAACAGAAGCCCTAGAATGCAACTGGAAATTGGACATAAGGTTACCACTAAATTTCCTCTCTGGCACCTAGATTAGAAGCTAGCTTTAAGCCTTTTGATATCTACAATTAAGTCACGAAAACAAACTAAACAATAACCTGGGAAAGTCCATTTTAAAAATAACATTTAATTTTAGAATACTTTTGGATTTACAGAAAATTTGCTGAAGATGTTAAAACAACAGCAAACAATGAAATATGCAAAACACACATTCACCAGTAAACTGTGGAGAGCTCCTAAAAAGCTGAATAAATCAATCTCTAATTTAGCGACAGTTTGTACAAGTGTGTTTTTCCTGTACCATCTAATCTTAAAGAAATAAATCAGGGGAGACTGACCACCTCCATCCACCATCCTGAGAAGGCTGTCTCCTTTGTTCTAGGGGAGACCGACTTGCAGCACAAGCTGATGGCTATCCTGGCTTAAGTAGTCTCCTTGCCCTCTTAAAAACATAAACTCACTCTGTAACTTATCTTTTAACATTTAAATACAGTGGTATTTCATAGGGATTAGGAAAATATTGCATCTAGAATAAACAGGTGATTGATTGCGTTTTTTGAGGTGATAAGGAGAATGGCGATCCCAATCTAAGTACTAAAACATCTGCCAAATGGCTATTCAGGAGTGGCATATATACAAGGAACACTTAAATCTTTGTCAACATCACTTTCTAAAAAAAAAAAAGAATGCACTTTGCACGAAAAACAGCGATCAAATTCTCCTTCTGAATATAGCAGTTAAACTATAACTTCCGACACAAATATCTGGAGGGGACCAAAGATTTGCAATCCCAAAATACGCCTTTTGGAATTTTGATTTGAGGCTGGTCATTAATGACTCTCGAGGCGGGGGAAAAAACCCTCCCCCTTACCTGCCTAAAAGAGTTCAGATACAAACACCGGCTTAAAGGAAAGGAGCATTCGCCTTAGTTAGTACCGTGAAATACAATTAAATGTAGCAAGCACACAGAAATGGAGCGAAGCCTGTTTGTTGATCTTCATTCTGTGTACCAGCTTCTGGGTGGTCCAGCAAGACTTTGCTTTCCCCTCTACCCGTATCTTGTCTCTTCCCCTTTCAAATCCCACACCCCTGCCCCCTTCTCCTTTGTCCCATTATTAAACCGTCAATGCCCAGTGCATCTTGGAGTCTCATACTCTTATGGCATCCCTGCCATATACTTCCATAATAAACTCTGAACATTCTCGCCTGCTAACCTGTCTCATGTGAATGTATTAGCCTAGCTGGGAGGCCTTAGGAGGTGCAAGGGGGAATTTCTGTGCCCACCCCCCACATATCCTTTCTTCGGAGAAAGACACTAATTGACTCCTCACGGGGACAAGTATCACTTTAATTCCACAGAATGCGGAGGGGACTATGAAGCACAAAAGGTGAGGTTCCCATCCGAAATTTAAATATAAAAAATAAAAATAAAAAATCCCTCTCCTCCGACCGCGCAGGAGGGAGGGAGCCCAGCAGCCAAGCCCGGCGTCCCGGTTCCCACCAGGCTCGCCCTTACCTGCATCTCACCGCCACCTGGATGTTCTTCCCCTTCTCCTCTTTCTTCTTCGTGGAGGAATTCGGCTGGGTCGCCATGACGGGGACCTCGGAGAAAACAAGGCCGGCCTGGTCCTGGCGCGGGCTGGGATGGATGCCCACCTCCCCAGCCCGGGGTGCTGGCTGGGCGTGGGCGGGGATCGACGGAAGCAGCCGGCGTCCCCGCTCTCCGCGCCGGGCTCTGACTGGCCCCGAGGTAGCCCCGCAGCGGCCCGGACCGTCACGCCAGCGATCCAGCCCCCGCCAGATGCGCAGGAAACCGAGCAACGACTAAGGCGCCTCAATTTGAAAAAAAAAGAGCCCCGCCGCCCGGCCAATCGCAGAGCGGGCGCGCAGTGCACCATGGGACGCGGCGTCGTCGTCACCGGAGCCCCGCCCCCCGGGGCGTGGCCCACGGGAGAGCGAAAAGCTGGTACGTCCGTGCGGGGCTGGGGCTCGTGGTCCAATGACAGAGGCTCAACGGGAGTAAACAAGATACTTCAACGCGACCTTGTTCGGATTGCATAACGTCTCTAAACCAAAAGGTCTAAACCTGCAAAATAAAAATAATAATAGCAGCCGTTTCAGAGAGCTGCGTGAGGATTCATGAGCTCACAGGGGTAACATAAGCATAGATGAGAGCAGGTTTAGTAAGTATTCAGGAAGACTGGCCATGATTATAATTATTATTAAAGAATTGACCTGGCAGCCGTGGCTCAGTGGTGGAGCGTCAACCCGTGAACCGGGAGGTCACAGTTCGGTTCCCCGTTGCGGGCTAATCTCGTTATTGATATTTCTATCTCTCTCTCCCTTTTTCTTCCTCTCTGAAACCAATGAAAAAATATATTTAAAAAAAAAAAAAAGTATTGCAAGAGGGTGCTACAGAAGCACAGAAGAGGGATCCAAAGCGAGCCCCTTGTCGGAGGCAGCGTCCAGTATAGTCTTGAAGAATAGTTAAGAGAAAGGCTATCACGGGTACCAACCCCCTGATGAAAGTCATTTTTAATGTCATTTCTAGGACTCCGAATACGTTAACTGATGAGTCATTGCCATTGCTAAATGATTACAAGCACGAAAAGATGATCGGATTTGCGGTTTCTGACATTGATTTTGCAGGGACTGATGCAGACTCTGGGCGTCTAAAGGAGGTTGCGCAAACGACGGCCGTAGTCAGCCTACAAATCCCAGCAGGCAGCGCGCTCAGTGACCTCTGGCTTCCCGCATGCGTACTAGGGGCGCCTTGGCGCACCAGCTGTGATTCAGCCCCTTTAGGTGTGCGCCCCAGTCAAGGAAATACTAAGTATGGGCCTTCGTCATAGCCGGCCCTGGAAGCGGCGCTTCTTGGCTACCCTTAGCACACAGGAACCTAGATATTATTTTAGTTTCTTAAGTTAACGGCCAGATGGAGTGGAAAGCTCTCAGGCCCCGTATCCAGATTCATCTACATCTAAAGCCTCGATCGCAGGTCAATGGAGATTATGCAGAGTCAGATGTCTACTGATAACTCCTCTTTGAAGGCCCGTGGGCATCTCAAAAACGGAACTATTCAAATCGGAATTCTTTATCCTATCTCCACCCTCATCTTTCTTATCTAGGCAGATGGTGCTAACCAAACCTTTGTTCTCCGTGTCCAGTGCAGTTCTGTTAGTTTTATTACATCTGCCCACCACCCTAGTTCAAATCTCTCTTATCTATTTCCTGAACAACTTGTGCTCTTTTCTCTACATTGCATTCACTCAGCAAAGGAAAGGATCTTTCTCTTTTTAATATGTTTTCTTATTCATTTCAGAGAGGGAGAGACAGAACATCAATGATGAGAGAATCATATAGATCGGCTGTCTCCTGCAAGCCCCCTATTGGAGATGGAGCCTGAAACCTGGGCATGTGCCCTTGACCAGAATATAACCCATGAACTTTCAGTCCGCAGTCTGCTGCTCTATCCAGTAAACCAAACTGGCCAGGGCTGGTTTATTCTTGTATGTGCCCTAATGGTGTAGAACCCAAAACCTTGGCCTATTAGGACGATGCTCTAATCAACTGAGCTACTACACCAGGGCTATGTTAGTTTTGTAATAATTGAAATCATTACATTTGTAGTTTTACATCCTGAATTTTTATTTAACATAATTTAAGCATTTTTTTTTCATAAACAGTTTTATTTGTCTGATCTTTTAAGGCTCTTAAACAATACCTATGCAATTCTTCAGTGGACAGTTGAGGTGCACTCACTTTAGCTATTTATTTTCTTAGTTGCCAGAATCTTGTTGGCTTCTGTTTCTGTCTGTGCATATGAATGCCAAAGACAACAAACAGCATGTATGTCTGCATGTGCTTATAAAATGAGGAAAAATACAGTTCATGAACTATTCATAAACCTGTAAAAAAAAAAAAAAAAAAGCCCCACCCAAATGCTTACGTATAGTTTTCTCAAATCCAAATTTTGGTTATTGTTTTTACTGTGTTAATAGTAGCAAATATTAGTTGGGAGAGAAAAGCAAAGAAGTTGTTCTCTGACCTTTTGTCAGACCCCGGAACATGCCAGAATCTCTCCTGTCCTATGCCTTTGTGATGGATGCTCTAACTGACTCATTCTTATCTTCCAAGTCACAATTCAAATGTCACTTCCTCAGAGAGACTTTCCCCAACTACTCTATCTGAAGTAGCTCCTCAAAGCCTCTCACAAAACCCCACTTATTTATTTCTCCACATAGCAAAAGGAAATTTGAAATGTTACTCCCCATGTTTTTCTTTCTTTGCCACACTTCAGGACCTTTCCTAGAGACCAAAGGTGTCCAGGAGAATTGGGGTTCTTTTTAAATATATTATATATACACTGAGTGGCCAGATTACTATGATCTCTGAATGCATAATAATCTGGCCACTCAGAGTGTGTGTGTGTGTGTATAATTGATTTCAGAAAGGAAGAAAGTGGAAGAGATAGAAACATCAATGATGAGAGATTGGCTGTTCATTGATTGGCTGTTCCCTGTATGCCCCACTTTGGGGATGGATCCTGCAACTTGGGCATATTCCCTGCTGGGGAATTGAACTGTGACCACCTAGGTCAGTGGTCGGCAAACTCATAAGTCAACAGAGCCAAATATCAACAGTACAATGATGGAAATTTCTTTTGAGAGCCAAAAACCAACTTCTGCACATGGGCCATGAAGTTTCAATCGCACTCTACCTGCAGGCTCGCATGTGGTGTTTTGTGGAAGAGCCACACTTAAGGGGCCAAAGATCTGCATGTGGCTGGCGAGCCAAGGTTTGCCAACCACTGGCCTAGATCAATGCTCAACCACTGAGCTCTGCTGGCTGGGTAAGAATTGGGGTTCTTCGGTGTGGAGTTTCCTCAAAAAACTGAAAATGGAACTCCCATTTGACCCAGTAATACCACTGCTAGGAATATATCCCAAGAAACTAGAAACACCAATCAGAAAGGATATATGCACCCCTATGTTCATAGCAGCACAATCTACAATAGCCAGAATTTGGAAACAGTCTAGGTGCCCGTCAGCAGATGATTGGATCAAAAAGCTATGGTACATCTACACAATGGAATACTATGCTGCCATAAAAAAGAAGGAATTCTCATCATTTGCAGCAACCTGGATGGAATTGGAGAACATCATGCTGAGTGAAATAAGCCAGTCAATAAAAGAGAAACACCACATGACCTCACTAATTTGTGGATAATGAAGAACATTATAAACTGATGAACCAAAAGATAGATATAGAGACAGTAAAGCAACAAGCAGATTGTCAAATTACAGCGGGGAGGGGAGGAGGATCTGGGGGAGATAATAGATCAACCGAAGGACTTGTATACATGCATATAAGTATTATACAACCAATGGACATAAAACTCTGGGGAGGGAGGAGATGTGTGGGAGGGAGGGAGGGGGGCAAAAAAAATCAATAAAATATGTAAAAATAAATAAATAAATAAATAAATGGTTAAAATAAAGAAAAAAGAATTGGGGTTCTTATAGCAAGAATGCAAAGAGAAAAAATATTTAGCATCTGTACCTTTCAAACCAAAACCTTAAGGGAAGCCTCTGAGAAGAGCCTAAATCAGTGTTTGGCAAACTGCAGCTCGCAAGCCATATGCAGTTCGGTTTGCCGCTCTGTTGACTAATGAGTTTGCCGACCACTGTGTAAGGCATTACCCTTACCCAGAAGTTTTGACTTCAGGTTAAAGACATTAGTACATTATTAAAATGTTTTTTTAAGTGTTTTTCCCTAACACAGTGGTCAGCAAACTCATTAGTCAACAGAGCAGCAAACAGGCTCTCGAGCAAGGTATCAACAGGAGAAGAAGCAGATGACTGGCCCTCCACAATTTTTTTTAAAAAATGTTTTTATTGACTTTTTTTTTTTTTTTTAGAGAGAGAGAGAGATATATAATATAAATATCAACAATGAGAGAATCATTGATCGGCTGCTCCCTGCACGCCCCCAACTGGGGATTGAGCCCACAGCCATGTGCCCTTGGCTGGAATCTAGCCCGAGAACCTTCAGTCTATAGGTCGACACTCTACCCACTGAGCCAAACCAGCTTGGGTGCCTTCTACAGTTTTTAAACTCTAGTTGAGAAACTCTGGGTGGAGCATTGGATGAAGAGAAAGTGATGGAGGAGGAAGAAGCTGATGGAGATCAGAGGCCATTTGGGAAAAATAAATAAATAAATAAATAAATAAATAAATAAATAAATAAAGGAGAGGAATTCCAGGAGAGGATCTGGTGGGGAGTTAGCCCAGAAGGACCAAAGAAATGGGCTCTCCATTAATAACTGCCTATGTAGCCTGGCCAGCATGGCTCAGTGGTTGAGCATCAACTTATGGACCAGGAGGTCTAACCTTTGATTCCTGGTCAGGACACATTCCAGGTTGCAGGTTTGATCCCCAGAGTGGGGCATGCAAGAGGCAGCCAATCAATAATTCTCTTTTATCATTGATGTTTCTACCTTTCTCTCCCTCTCCCTACCTCCTTGAAATCAATAATATATATATATATTAAAAACTGCCCATGTAGTTCAAATATTCAACCCTATGCTCTTC